GGGGGGGGGGGGGGGGGGGGGTAGACACAAGAAATGTTACTGCTGCGGTTAAAATATTAATGGGAAATAATTTATTATGTTATTTTTTTTTTAAAAAAAATTAATTTAATTTAAAAAAACGAAAAATACAAGTATTTAATTCTCGTAAATTTAATTCACATGCCTAATTACACAATTTACATTTAATTAAATTCTCCTATATTGACTTCCAAATATTTTACTATATTTACTTCCATCTTTAAATTTTATAATTATTTTAAAATAAATAAAATAATTTTTCAACCAATTGCCTCAGAAGTTTTTATAATTTTAAGGAATGATTTAGAATTTTTTTTTTCTTTGCCAAATTTAAAAATAAAAAATATTAAAAAAATCAAATATTGGTTTAGATTTTGAAAACAGATGCTATAGATAATAGAACAAAATATATCTTAATATTTATAAGTTTTAAAATAGTTATTATGAGACACCTAAAAACAGAAAGTTTCGAAGTTTTAAAAAATTTGGTAGAAATTTGAATGCTTAATTTAATTGACGGATTAAATTTTATTAGTTTACCAAATATTATCAACAAATTTTAATCTATATACATAAATATTATTTATTACAACAAAAAGTTAAAAGAAAATTAATAAATGGAAAATGAAACTCCAAATCAAAATAGGGAAGGAATCTGATTGGTAGCATGGCTGCACCTACAGCCAAGTGTTGGGCAGTTTCATAACTCACCTAGTTAATTAACCCTCATTCTTTAACCCTAGTTAACTCCTTTTCTTTAACTCCCCCCCTCTGCTCTCTCTACTCTGTTGTTGGTAAACCACTTTAGGTTACCAAAATGCTTCTCAAAATTTCTCCCTCTCAACAATCCAATCCAACACGGACGCCATTTTAATGCTGCATTTCACTTCCAATTCCTTAATTCATTTCTCTCCTCCTCTTCAATCGCAATTCTAATCTCTCCGCCATGAGAATAATCTCTCCGCCTGTCTCTTCTTCTTCTCCTTCTCCTTCTTCTTCTTCTTCTTCTTCCTCCTCCTGCATCGGCTCTGATTCCGGCATTCATAACAACAATCTCGCCGCTCCTCACCGGCCGCAATCTGAGAAAACCACAGCCAAACGGCGGAGGAGGAATCAAGATGAAACGAAATGCCAGATTCATAATCATAACGCTAATGGATCCAACAACGCCTCTCCCGCTCGGCGGAGCTCCATTTACAGAGGAGTTACTAGGTTTACTTTTAAATTTGTAATTTGATTTTTTTAATCCTTTTTTTTTTAATTTGCATGTTGAATTGAGATTATGAAATTATTGTTCCGATTCGAAATCAGGCACCGATGGACCGGCCGGTTCGAAGCTCATCTCTGGGACAAGAGTTCATGGAATAACATTCAGAACAAAAAGGGAAGGCAAGGTGAGGAAATTAAAAGACCCTCTTAATTACTTAATTTCTTAATTAAATAGTTAATTGAAGAAGAGATCTAAATAATTATTTGTTTATTCGGTTAATTATTCTTTTATATTTAGAAAATAAAAAAATAAGGCCCTGATTTTGTTTTGCTGACTGTGTATCTTGGGGCCTCTCCTCTCTTCGCCAACGTTCATTTTGCGCTTTTGTCGCTGCTCAGTTTATTTGGGTAAGCTCTCTGTATCTTAATTTTCTCTATTTTTTTAAAATATATATATATATTTCTGGACACGTGGCGGGATAATGGTTATCTTCTTCGTCCTGTTTCAAAATTTTATTGATTAATATGAAATTCATAAATTTGCAGGAGCCTACGACAACGAGGAAGCCGCTGCTCGAACTTATGACCTTGCTGCCCTCAAATACTGGGGCCCCGGGACCACTCTCAATTTCCCGGTACCTTTGACACTCAAGGCTAAAACAGACATTTCACTTTAAATTCTCAATTTATTTATTTAAATCTCCATAAAGCAAATCTCAATTTCATAGCCCTAAATTGACATTTTTCGTGATTCATTTTGAAGAATATTGTAAAATTATGGTCGGCATATATATAATACTTTTATTTATTTTTTTAATAAAATGTAAATTTATGAAAGATTAAAATGTGGGGTCCAAAATTTGCAGGTAGAGTCGTACACGAACCAAGTGGAAGAAATGCGGAAAGTTTCCAAGGAGGAATATTTGGCGTCCTTACGGCGGCAGAGCAGTGGTTTTTCCAGAGGCGTCTCCAAGTACCGCGGCGTTGCCCGGCACCACCACAACGGCCGGTGGGAGGCTCGGATTGGCCGTGTTTTTGGAAGCAAATATCTTTACTTGGGAACGTACAGTACGTCTCTCTCTTTCTCTCTCTCTTTATGTCTACTTGTTAACACCAGGTGGCAATGCCACGTGGGTTTTTAGTGGTTACGTGGCACAGTCCGTCAGAATTTTTCCCAGTCTGTCAGCTAACGTGGTACCATCGTTCTTAGTTGTCTTAGACAAACCAATTCTTTATTGGCTTTAGCTTACAAATTTTTCAAAAAATAAAAAATAAACCTAAAATAATTTTATTAAGAAAATAAATGTTTAAAATTATATAAATTTATTAGGGTTGTTTGTTAATTGGTTTAACTACTGGGTCACTTCCAATCCCGAATCATCAACTGTTTCCATAGAAAAATGAGGTCCTTAGGTTCACCTTCCTTGAATTTGGTGTGTAATTCTAATTTATATATATTAAATAATACCTTTTTAACTTCAACTGTTTCCACCTTAAAATATTTATTTTAGTTCATATATTTTAAACTGCTTATTTTAATTTAAAAATATATAAATAGTAAAATTATTGAAGGGGAGGAGTGGTCCAAGAGGGGTAAATAAATTTGGGGATGGGGGTACGGCACGTGATCCTTGTCCAGCTGGCAATATAAAATAATAAATAAAACAGTAGTTTGCGATCCACAGCTTTCCAAAAGCGAAGAAAAAGTATTATGTGGCGTCACGTGCCACTTCACTAGCCTCTGTCGGGGTGGGAACTTTTTAGCTTGTTTTTATACATCTGTACTTTCATTTTCCGGGAGCCCATATTTCTTTTAAATAATAATTATTATTATTTTAATTTATTTTCCTTTTCCCTTTTTAATTTTATTTTCTGTGTTATATAATTTCTTTGGTCAAACCAAAAATCAAGGGAAATTCTTAGAGACAGCAGCCCCAGTTGTTCTGCATTCCTGCTTTCAATATTTTGACTTTTTATTTTATTTTATTAAATAAAATTAAAATAAACTACTGTTATTTATTTATTTATTTATATATTCTGTGAAATAAGGTGAGAATATGGATCTGTTTTTGTGATATGACTGCAATTAATTAATTGATTTAGATTCAAAACTAGTATAGTCACGTGATTTCCCATCTAAATTTCAAACCAAACCCCATTTAGGAAGTGTAATTAATTTGATTAATTAAGTAATTTAGTTGATTAAGGTTTTGGTTTTATTTGTTTGTTAAGATACACAAGAAGAAGCAGCTGCAGCATATGACATGGCTGCCATTGAGTACAGAGGAGCCAATGCAGTCACCAACTTTGACATTAGCAATTACATTGGGAGGTTACAGAATAAATCATCACCAGATCACCCCAATTGCTCCCCTGCTTCTTCTCAGGGAGAAGTAGTACAACAACAACAACAACAAGACGACGTGGATCAGCGGCAACAACATCAACAACAAATTGCATTCTCGGGCCCACCTGACCTCCAGTTTTCGATCGAGAATAACCCCGCTTTGGTTGTTATGGATGAACCACCAACACAAGACGATCATGATCTCCATTGGTCTTTCTTAGACACGGGATTATTCGTGCATGTCCCTGACCTCCCACTTGAGAAATCGAGCGAGTTAGCTGACTTATACTTTGACGAGATCAGGTTTGAGGACGATATTGGGTTGATGTTCGAAGCAAGCTTAGAAAACAATAAGAACTGCGAAGGTAATAACAACGATGATGATGATAATGTTGGGAAGAAGGAGGTCAACAACTGTAATGAGAAAATCAGATTGTTCGCAGCTACTACGACAACTTCACCGTCTTCTTCGTCGATAACCACCTCGGTTTCGTGTGAATTTAGGGTTTGAGTTCTTAGGGGCTTGTTGTTTTTGTTTAAAATGGGAAAAATCACTGTGGTCTTCTCTGTTCTTGGAGATTTGCTTCGGTGTTTTTGTTTTTAATAATTTGTTAATTTAATTTTTCAGCTTTTTTATTTTTTTTGTTATAAATAATTTTCTCGAGGGTATTTTGGTCCAATGAAAAAGCCAATTAACATCCCTAAAACACAACCTTGGTTTACTCGAACATGTTTCTTAACGAAACTGTAACATCAAGCAAAAGTTGTCCCCTCCTCTCTTTCTAATTTCTTGACCTTATGAAACATTATAAGAACAATATGTATACTTTTGTGATAATCGAGCCGAAAGAAAATTGTGCTCGTCAAATTTTATAATAATTTAATTTTTACCTTAAAAAATCTCATCAAATTTAAATATCAATAATTTTAATATTTTTTTAACTATATTTACTAAACTACTAAAAATTAAAGTTTAGGATTTTTTTTAATTGTCATAAAAAATAATGCAGAAAAGATGTAATTTAATAAAATTAAAATGAATATTTGCATATCTATTTTCGACACGAGTATATTTTAGCAAACAAATGGGCCGAATGGGCTCTAAAAAAATCTGGAAGCCGTCACTCACTATGAGGCCGTGGGTGAGGCTTAAGGCCCAATAATATTATATTCCATATGGCCTCTCTCAGCCCACATCTTTAATATATATATTATATTTTAAAGATGAATACGAGAGATCTCTCCCTAACAAATACGTTTTAAAATTATGAGGTTGATGACAATACTTAACAAATTAGAGCTAACAATGTTTATTAGCAGTGTCCGTGAAGACGCTAGACCATGAAGGAGAGTAGATTGAGTGATTACACATCGATTGGACCGGGTCCCCAAGGGGGTGGATTGTGACATCTCACATAGCTAGAGAGTTGACTCAATGGGAAAAGCTTTAAAGAAAAAAAAACCAAAAAATATAATATTTGAGGTCGTCTCATTTAAATATGATTTCGGTTCATTCTTATAACTCTTATATACTTGGGTGTCATATATTCATAACTTCTACTAAGAGATGTTTGGGTTGAAAAATAGTGACCCAAATAGAACCGAAACACGAGTCCTCCAAGGTATATTTCGTACGATTAAATTTAAAATTAAATAATTAAATTGGAGGGTAGCGTCGGTGGATAATTTGTGGTAAGTTTTGTTCTTTACTTAAACCATTAAACAACTTTTTAATACTTTAAAAAAATAATTAATGCTGTTTTAAATACTTTAAATTCTAATTACTTTTGATTATCCACTCTTCTTCTTTTTTCCGTCCTCTATATAAACACTCTCCTTCTTCGCTTACCGAGTCATTTCGAGTTTACATTATGAACTCAGCTCCCTTCATTTTCCTTTTCCTCCTCTCTCTCCGCCTCGCCGGAGCTTCCGATTCTCCTCCGCCGTCCGCCGTCCTCTGTAAATCCACTCTATATCCTAAGCTTTGCCGCTCCATTCTCTCCTCCATCCGATTCTCCCCCTCCGATCCATACGGCTACGGAAAATTCTCCGTCAGGAAGTGTCTCAAACAGGCGATCAAAATGTCGAGCGTTATCGGCGAGTATCTCGACCGAGGAGGCGATTCGAGGTTGAATCGGCAGGAGGTTGGCGCTCTGGAAGACTGCAGAGAGCTTTCCGATTCGAATGTGGAGTTTCTCCAGTCGATTGATGGCGTATTGGAGGCAGCGGAGGGCGTTGATGAGGAACTGATGGAGCGTATTGAGAGTATTTTGAGCGCGATCGTGACGAACGGCCAGACTTGTATCGACGGATTGGTGGAGTCGAGAAGTAGTTTGGGGAATGCGCTATCGGCACCGCTGTTGAGCGCGGGGGAGCTGTACAGTGTATCGTTAGGACTGGTTAAGAACTCGCTGTCGCGGCGGTGGAAGAAGCGGAGCCAGAAGGGAGACCGCGAGGGAGGGAATTTCCCGGCGGCTGCGCAGAGCAGAGAGCCATTGAACACGCTGATCAAGGTACGATTCGATATGGCGCCGTTGTTATTTGGTCTCTGTTTGTCTGTTCGTTCGGTTACACGGACCATTACATTTGCTTTATTCAATGCATCAAAAAATTAGGCGAAAATAAGTTTTTGTTTGGATGTGGCCACTAAAATATATATATATTTTAAAATTTAATCTAATAAATAATAATGTTATATTTTTTTCAAAGTAATAGTAAAATAATAAATCATTAACAAATAAGCTTCTTCTTTAAGAATTAATCTTACAAATAAAATTGTTATTAAAATGGGTAATCAACCTTGTAATTAATGCTTCAAAAGTGCATTAAATTCTCCCATAATGACATTATTACTGAGCAGAAATCACAATTGATGGTAGCATTAAGGGGAATTAGTGAGAGAAAAAACATTTAAGTATTCATAGTTATATAATTTTAAAACTATGCTTTAATTTAATTTCATTCACATTTAATTGATTTCTGATTTCTTTCCAATTACTTATGAATTACTTACATTGGAACATCATCTTTATACAAAGTGAGGAATTTAACTCTTGATGAAGAACCTGTCCTAACTATAGTTTAATATTTTAATTTTTACCAATATGATCAGTAAAAACAGTATATTAAATAAATAACAAAAATGTTTTTTAGTGGAAAAAAAGATTATATATATATATATTATATATATTATATTTGTTCATTAAATTTATGTTAAATACGTTGATAATTTTGTTGGTATCACGGGAGAGATTCTAGGATTCCCAAGCTCCACCAAATGCATGTTACAAATTCAGATGTGGATTCTCCTCATAATTTTTTAACTTGCCTTTTTTCTAATTGTTTTATTCCTATCATTTGCCTTTTATTATATATATATATATATATATATATATAGATGTATATGTATATATATGTATATGTACATGTATGTATATGTATATGTACTTTCATGTATATGTGTGTGCGTATACATGTATATGTATATATATGTATATGCATATGTACTTTCATGTATATGTGTGCGTGTATATATATATGTATGTATGTATGTATGTATATGTATATGTATATGAATATGAATATGGGCTGGCAGCCGGACCAGCTAAAAGCAACTCCAAACTCCGATGTCATAGGTTCAAATTATACAGAGCGTGGATTCGATTGTTGTAATCGAATGATTTCTTTAAACTCTGTCTAGTATAAACTAAGTAAAAAAATCTTGCAACAAGTCTTGATGTATACAAAACGCACTAGGTTTTTGTCTTTGGGTACTACGGACCCTCTGCCATCTATTGCAGCAGAGCCGTTTCATGAGCGGAGGCTAAGACGAGAAAGAAGAGGCTTTCCCGTGGACTAGCGTGGGCTAAGCTGGGAGAGTTGATATATATATCAAAACTAGTCTTGGAATTTAAGACAACTAAGGGGCAATTGTTCCTTTTTCTTACCTGATCTGCTCAAGTTCTTTTTAGTATAAATTAGTTGCTGATTTTTGGAGGAGATTGCATTTTTTCCCTATTAAATTAACAATGATCTTAAGAGTTTGAATGAACAGGGACTACATTCAATGGGTTCGTGCAACCAATCCACAAAGTGTTCGGGAAGGAAGCGCATGTTGACTGATTTGGGCACCACAGGAATTTTGATCAACAACACTGTGGTTGTTAGCTCAACCGGTGCTGACAACTTCACATCAATTGGAGATGCAATTTCATTTGCTCCCAACAATTCAATGCCTCAAGATGGCTACTTTGTTATCTATGTTAGACAAGGATACTACGACGAATATGTTGTCGTCCCCAAGTACAAAACCAATATAATGCTCATCGGAGATGGCATTAACCGAACCGTCATCACGGGGAACCATAACGTTGTTGATGGTTGGACGACTTACAATTCCTCTACCTTTAGTAAGCAATTCACAAATCAGTTTAAAATTTATAATATTGTCGTATCAAAATTATTCCGAAATTGGTAGCTGAATGTTTGGGATATATGTTGGCAGCTGTTTATGGGGATGGATTTGTTGCAATAGACATGACATTCAGGAACACAGCAGGAGCAGAGAAGCACCAAGCAGTGGCAGTGAGGAACAGTGCAGATCTCTCAACATTCTACCGCTGTAGCTTTGAGGGATATCAAGACACTCTTTATGTACATTCCTTAAGGCAATTCTACAGGGAATGCGACGTTTATGGCACCGTCGACTTCATTTTTGGCAACGCTGCTGCAGTTTTCCAGCAATGCAATTTATACGCTAGAAAGCCACTCCCCAACCAAAAGAACGCCTTCACTGCACAGGGCCGAACCGATCCGAACCAAAGCACAGGCATCTCAATCCATAACTGCACCATCACGGCTGCCCCAAACTGGGTGATGGATTTGAATGAGACGACGACGAACTATCTCGGGCGGCCATGGAAGCCGTTCTCAAGGACGGTGTATATGCAGTCTTACATTGGGGATTTGATCAGCCCAGTGGGGTGGCTGGAGTGGAATGGAACGGTGGGATTGGACACATTGTATTATGGGGAGTTTGAGAATTATGGACCAGGAGCTAACACGAGCTTGAGGGTCGATTGGGATGGCCATAGCTTGATGAATATCACAGAGGCTATGAATTTTACTGTCTATAACTTCACTATGGGAGATACCTGGCTGCCCTATACAGATATCCCCTTTTCTGGAGGTTTGCTATGATTTCTATTCTCTCTTAATTTTGTTTTTTTTTCAAGCTTTTCATCAATTATATATTATATATAGTTTTAGTGTATGGTTCATGATTTGAGGTTTCTAAATAGCTCACGTCCCTATGTAATTTTCAAAATTGAATTACAATCAAAATTAAATATTTAAAAATAAATAAGAATCGTAAACGTTCAAGCCCTATTCTTTTTGAGTTTTTTCTTTGTTCTTTTTTCTAACCAATGTGAGATTTTACAATCTAGTTCAGTGTCACCATCATGCTTTGTCAAATCCACCACTAAGAAAGGGTGATTGTGACACCTAGCTTCCTTGTGAACACACAGCTAGGCCCACATGTAACTAATATTGTCCTCACTTTTTATTATGGGTTTCTTTTCAAGGTTTGGAGATATTTCACATGTTTATAAGAAATGATTTCTTCCCCTCTCTAACTAAGTGGGATCTCACAAAAATATATATATATATTTTTTTTATTAAATAAACAACCCGATTTAACTTAACACAAATATTTCATAATTAGATTGAGTTAGGTTCCTAATTTAATTAGTGTTACTACGAACCATTGAGTTGAATCTAAAAATATATTTTTAAAAAATTAATAAGACATTAATTTTTTTTGTGTAATTTTTATTGTTAACTAAAAGAGACAAATTTACATGCACGAGATGTGCTGTTACATTACTTTAATTAATGATATTTGGACAAGTAAATTTGATCCAATAGAAATTAATATTTACTATTCTAGTATTTTATTTTATTTTATTGTTAAAATATAAATATTACTAACTATATTATAAATAAGAATAATGACGCAACGTTAGAAAAATTATTAAATGTTTTTATTTATTTTTTAGGTATTAATTGAGAAATCATTGCGAACTTCAGCTTCGTTGCGTCGCGAATGACAACCTGTAATGAGCTATGCGAAATATGCCGCCACCGCTGTCACAACCGCCGCCCAGAGACTCACCGTCGTCAGTAACTGCATCCTTCGGACAGTGAAGCCGCCGGCAAGTTTCCCTACTCTGGTCGTTCTCGGAGATGGAGTTACGGCGTCGATCTTGGCTGTTCCCACATTCTTATCTGCCTCCTCTGTTTTAGATTCCCTCCCCTTTTCTGGATTTTGATTTTCAATTTCTTTCTTCTCTGTTGGCTTCTACTGATACGGGCTGCTAATTTTCCGATCCAGCGTCGTTTCCGCCTTGCCGGAATCCCCTTGCACCGGACCCCTTTCAGCCGCCGCCGCCGCCGGCGTCGGATTTTCTTCATTAGCCTTCGCCGAGGCCTGCTTTTGGAGTTCTGCAGATTTTCCCTTAACTTTTGGTGAACTTGAATCGTCTTTCGGAAGAGCCGCCGCCTCTGATTCTTGTCTCATGGGCCTGAAGTGAGCCCATCAATTCATTAACGAAGAGCATGGATAAATCATTAGCTTCTTCTATGGCAGCCACCACATCGGTCAAACTTTGGAGTCAAGTTTCTCAACACCTTGCAACAAATTTTCTCTTCATAAGTACGCATCTGACTGACTTTTGTCATTCCTCTTGACAAAAAATCAGCAATTGATTCGCCATGAGTCATGAGTATAGTTTCAAAATCACGTCTTAGAGATTGCAATTTCACTATCATAACCTTTGAATCTCCTAGAAACTCCTTCGGTAGAATTGATCATGCCTGCTTTGATGGGGTTGCTGCTGCAATTCGTGAGAAGATAGTCTCATGAACTGCCTGCTTAATAATGAATAAAGCCTTGACATCGTTTTTCTTGGTTTCTCTTAGTCTCTCCTTTTCTTCTATTGTGGGTTCTAATAGATCAACAAACTCGTGCTCCACCAAGTCCCATAGCTCCTGCGATATGAGCAAGGTCTTCATACCAAGTCTCATAGCTCATGCGATTTGAGCAAGGTTTTCATCTTTGATGCTCCACCACTCATATTTCTCACCATTAAAGATCGGTAACAACGATGCAGAGGAAGAAAAGCCAGCTACTGATATTTTTGTTTTGTGAAAGAAAATAATCACTCACCCTCGTGTCGAACGAACTTGGCTATAATGAAAAAAATAAGAATAGATAAAATAGATGAATAGTGCTTTATTATTGTTACTTACCTGTGATGGTTATAGGGTTACATAGTACATAAATAGTAAATCATCCAAATCTAGAAAAATTCAAATCTACTAACACTCTTCTACTTTAGTTTGAATATTTTAATTATATCTCAACTACTTTTTGAATCATATCTTTTAGAATATTTTGAATCATATCTCAACATTTTTAACCTACTCGAATCCAAAAACAAAAGAAAAATTGTTAAAAAAAAAAGGATTAAATTGTTTAAAAAACGAAGAACAGGCCAAAATTAGGACCAGGAAGTTTGAGCAGTAGAATATGAGCTTCGTTTTCATCTCTTTCTTCGACGTTGGGAGTGAAGGGCTCGTTGTAAACCCGCTGGGATTGACGGCGGTAGACGCCGAGTCCGGCGGTTCTTGGCCTTGTGGTTGCCATTCTGGTTGCCGGAAAATGGCGGGGGTTTTCGGGTCGGGTCGGGTTGTATTTGGGGGATGGGTGGTATTTATGGGGTTTGAAATAGTTTCTTGGAGTTGGGATTATACCTTATTTGAACGGTTTGATCAAAGGGATATACATTTCCCCTTTTGTGTAGTTAAGGTATAATTCCATTTTGCTTCTCAATTCTTTTCCTTTTAAAATATATTAGGGTTTACGTTCTGCTCAAGTAGCTCGAGTTCATATTTATGTAATGAAATTTCTATGTTGACCAAGTAAACGTCTAACCAAAAAATTGTATTATCAAAAGTTAGAATCATTAAATTAAGAAGATAAATTTTTTAAAATGACATAATAAAATGAATCATATTAAATTAGAAATTGTTACAAAGAATTAGATGGTCTCTTATATGAGACTCTATAAAAGAGATGCATAAAATAATCTAGATCACATCAAAATGAGAGTGATCCTAAGATCACATCAAAATAAGAGTGATCCCGAGAATAATATGATTGAGAAAAATTTAAATGAATTGAAATTACTCCTAAAGATTGTTGAGACGAGATAAATAATAAATATACCATTGGATAGATGAGTGATTACTCATTACTAATAACAACAAGATGTCACAGTCATAAGAACTAGAGCAATCTTCCGAATGAATTTTGGTCACGAGATGACATTAATACAAATAGCTTTACATAAACACATATTTAGGAATTGAAGAGTTTTCAAAAAACGAAAGGCAGGATGGCTTTAACATGGCGAGGAAAATCTTCAAATTTAGAAACGTACCAATTCCTGGTGGCGTAGCTTCGGCCAATCAAGAACAGAGCGGATCCGATGGCGAAGACCATTGCGAACAGTGTCTGCGAAACGAAAGCGATTCCTAAGAACTCTACCATCTCAAACAGGTAGTGAGGGCACACGATCACTTCAAACATCCCTCCCCTTGGAATCCTGTACTCTCTATCGCCTTCTTTCCTCAATTTCGATAGTAGAACGTGGTGATACAGATTTCCAGTGATTCCAATCCAGTACATCGCCAATCCAGCCGCCCTCAGATCGATCTGCGGCTCCGCCAGATCCTGCGCAACCATCTGAGAGTAGATCGTGCTGCCGGTAAGGAGTATATAGGTAATCGAGGCAATAATCGCATCGCTCAGGCCCATTTTGTTGCTGTATTTATGAACGAACACAACCTGAAATAATCGAGTTTCGATTTCGCTAATTAACTTCCAGAACAGACAGAATCGAGAGGATCTAATTAGTTAAGTAGACGTACCGGTGAATGTTTGATTAATCCACCACACCTAAATCGTGTGAAAGTTGTCTTTACACGGATATGAAAATAGTAATAGATGTAAATAACAATAAATGGAAAGATACCTATGATAATAACTCAAATATCTAATATTTGTCTTGTTAAGGATATTTAGTAATAAATTATAGTTTACCATATATATATTATATTTTATATTTTATTATAAGGCAAATATTAGATATTTGCCTTATTATCTAGGTATCTTTCCATTTATTGTTATTTCCATTTATTACTATTTCCATATCCTTGTAATTCATTTGATTATAAATAAGATAACTTTCACACCATTTAGGTGTGGTGGATTAATCAAACATTCACATGGTATCAGAGCTCTTTCGATTTAACAACCCTGATCTTTTCTTTTCAATGGCTTTTGAATCCTCTAATCTTCCTCTCCACCACCCCTGCTGGTTTTGTGGCCGCAGGGGCAGTCTTCATGGGTGCCGTAGTCGGAGCCGATTGATTACTCTTCGGCTCCACCCTATTGACCTCCACATCACCTTTCGTCATACTCTGTACTTACAACCTCACCTTTTCCAACCAAATCGGTTTTCCCTTTGGCCAATATAGTCTCTCTCATTTTTTTCCCAATCAACCTTCATCCTTCACATAAACCCTAACTTAAACCTATCAACCTTTTGCAGAGATTTACCTTCGGAATCTGGGTGCTGCATTAGCCTATTCGCCAACCAAGTTGCCGCCGCCCTTCTTGCCAAAATTGGCTTCTTCGCCCGATGAGGCGACTCTTCCGACTGCCCTTCTCGCCAAAATTGGCTCCTTCGCCCAATGTGGCGACTCTTCCGGCTTCAACATTGTCTTTGTCCCTTGCTCTAGGTTTCCCCTTCTACTTCTTGGGGTTAGAAATATTCTCACCAGAGCCAAGGCAGCATCGTCGCTAAGCGACAATCCCTCTTCATGGGTTAGACATATCTCGCCGAAGCCAAGGCAGCATCGCCGCTGAGCGGCGATCCCTCTGCAATTTTGTATGGCCAAGAACCGGGTTGTTAGCATCTTCATGAAAAGTGTTTCTCAACCTCTTTGAATTTTTCAGATTCAAGCTTCACGTTCGTTTAAATCCGACGCTTAGCTTGCGGTGGGGTGTTAAGGATATTTAGTAATAAATTATAGTTTACCATATATATTATATTTTATATTTTATTATAAGGCAAATATTAGATATTTGCCTTATTATCTAGGTATCTTTCCATTTATTGTTATTTCCATTTATTACTATTTCCATATCCTTGTAATTCATTTGATTATAAATAAGATAACTTTCACACCATTTAGGTGTGGTGGATTAATCAAACATTCACATGTCTTATAATAAAATATCAAATATAATATATATGGTAAACTATAATTTATTACTAAATATCCTTAACACCCCACCGCAAGCTAAGCGTCAGATTTAAACGAACGTGAAGCTTGAATCTGAAAAATTCAAAGAGGTTGAGAAATACTTTTCATGAAGATGCTAACAACCCGGTTCTTGGCCATAAAAAATTGCAGAGGGATCGCCGCTCAGCGGCGATGCTGCCTTGGCTTCGGCGAAAATATGTCTAACCCATGAAGAGAGATTGTCGCTTAGCGACGATGCTGCCTTGGCTCTGGTGAGAATATTTCTAACCCCAAGAAGTAGAAGGGGAAACCTAGAGCAAGGGACAAAGACAATGTTGAAGTCGGAAGAGTCGCCACATTGGGCGAAGGAGCCAATTTTGGCGAGAAGGGCAGTCGGAAGAGTCGCCTCATCGGGCGAAGAAGCCAATTTTGGCAAGAAGGGCGGCGGCAACTTGGTTGGCGAATAGGCTAGTGCGGCACCCAGATTCCGAAGGTAAATCTCTGCAAAAGGTTGATAGGTTTAGGTTAGGGTTTATGTGAAGGATGAAGGTTGATTGGGAAGAAAATGAGAGAGACTATATTGGCCAAGGGGAAAACCGATTGGGTTGGAAAAGGTGAGGTTGTATGTACAGAGTATGACGAAAGGTGATTTGGAGGTCAATAGGGTGGAGCCGAAGAGTAATCAATCGGCTCCGACTACGGCAGCCATGAAGACTGCCCCTGCGGCGTCAAAACCAGCAGGGGTGGTGGAGAAGAAGATTAGAGGATTCAAAAGCCATTGAAAAGAAAGGATCGGGGTTGTTAAACCGAGAGGGCTCTGATACCATGTGAATGTTTGATTAATCCACCACACCTAAATGGTGTGAAAGTTATCTTATTTATAATCAAATGAATTACAAGGATATGGAAATAGTAATAAATGGAAATAACAATAAATGGAAAGATACCTATGATAATAAGGCAAATATTAGATATTTGCCTTATAATAAAATATCAAATATAATATATATGGTAAACTATAATTTATTACTAAATATCCTTAACACCCCACCGCAAGCTAAGCGTCAGATTTAAACGAACGTGAAGCTTGAATCTGAAAAATTCAAAGAGGTTGAGAAATACTTTTCATGAAGATGCTAACAACCCGATTCTTGGCCATAAAAAATTGCAGAGGGATCGCCGCTCAGCGGCGATGCTGCCTTGGCTTCGGCGAAAATATGTCTAACCCATGAAGAGAGATTGTCGCTTAGCGACGATGTTGCCTTGGCTCTGGTGAGAATATTTCTAACCCCAAGAAGTAGAAGGGGAAACCTAGAGCAAGGGACAAAGACAATGTTGAAGTCGGAAGAGTCGCCACATTGGGCGAAGGAGCCAATTTTGGCGAGAAGGGCAGTCGGAAGAGTCGCCTCATCGGGCGAAGAAGCCAATTTTGGCAAGAAGGGCGGCGGCAACTTGGTTGGCGAATAGGCTAATGCAGCACCCAGATTCCGAAGGTAAATCTCTGCAAAAGGTTGATAGGTTTAAGTTAGGGTTTATGTGAAGGATGAAGGTTGATTGGGAAAAAAATGAGAGAGACTATATTGGCCAAAGGGAAAACCGATTTGGTTGGAAAAGGTGAGGTTGTAAGTACAGAGTATGACGAAAGGTGATGTGGAGGTCAATAGGGTGGAGCCGAAGAGTAATCAATCGGCTCCGACTACGGCACCCATGAAGACTGCCCCTGCGGCCACAAAACCAGCAGGGGTGGTGGAGAGGAAGATTAGAGGATTCAAAAGCCATTGAAAAGAAAAGATCAGGGTTGTTAAATCGAAAGAGCTCTGATACCATGTGAATGTTTGATTAATCCATCACATCTAAATGTTGTGAAAGTTGTCTTATTTATAATCAAATAAAGTACAAGGATATGGAAATAGTAATAAATGAAAATAACAATAAATGGAAAGATACATATGATAATAAGGCAAATATTAGATATTTGACTTATAATAAAATATTAAATATAATATATATGTAAACTATAATTTATCACTAAATATAATTTATTACTAAATATTTTTTTACAGTACCTCGAAGATTCGTTTGAAGAAATGGATGAGGAGAAGGGAGTTGATTAGGAAAATCCTCGTGGAGGAGTTATTGTAGCGCGGGAGGAGGAGGAAGAGGGAGATGGAGGCGACGGCGAAAGCAGGGACGTAACAGAGGAGCATAGCGGATCGGGAAGGGAGGTGGATTTTGTTGGAGGAGTTTTTTGGGCTCCAGAATTTGGAATACTGCAAGTGGCGGCCGAGAAATTCAGACGTAGCGAGGACCAAAGTGGAAAGCATGATGAGGGAAGAAAGAGCGAGGATGAAGGGAGAAGAAAACGGGGAAAACAGGAATGTCGGCATGGGAGAAGTACCAGAAGATAACGGCGGCCGTCGTCTTTGTTCTTGAAATCGTGAGTTGCAGAGAAGGATGGAAATTTAATGGTAACCACGATTGCCTCATCGCTCTGCAATTTATAAAAAAAAAAAATAATAAACAAATAAATAAAATCTCCTTCATGTCCTTTTCTTTCTTAGCGTGTGGCCATTCCATAATTATAATTCATTTCATAATTATAATTCCCGGGTTGATGAGTCTTTCAAGTTATCGAATCTTTTTAAATACTCCTAATTCTTCTGTACTAAAGTCCAAATGCTATCAAACAACGGTGGAGGATAATCAATATTATTATCAAATGTGAACAACCAATTTGGTCCACAAAGTCCATAGAAATAAATATATAACCTAGGAGTTTTAGACTAATTTTCCAGATTAAGGCTTCAAGAACATTTTTAATTTAATTCAATTCAATTCAATTATATAACATAAATACTATATTAATTTCAATAAATAAAAACACACCAGGAATAAATCGTCATTATTAAGATCAGGTAAAGAACAAATATCCAACTGTTTTACCTTCTACTATTGTAGTGATAAATAGAATCACAACCTAAGGGTAGGCCTAAAACAATAGTAGTATGAACCTAACTTAACTGTGTAAAGCATAAACACAAGTAGCTTTTATGAAATGAAGAAAGGAAGGGTTCTAAAACACAAAAGGGAGCAGGGCTTTGACATGGCTGGGGAAGTTTTCAAATTTGGAGACGTACCATTTCCTTGTGGCATAGCTCCTTCCAGCCAAATAAATGGCGGTGCCGGTGCTGAAGCACAAGGGATAGAGTTCCTGAGAGATGAAAGCAAATCCAAAAAACTCAATGATTTCAAACAGATAGTGAGGGCAGATGACAAGGCTGAAGAGGCCTCCCTTGGGGATTTTGTACCCTGTTTCTCCCGGTTTTCGGGTTTTGGACAAGAGAAAGTGGTGGTAGAAGTTCCCGATAATGCCTATCAGAAACAAAGCAATCCCAATGTTTTTCAGATCAATGGGCGGCTCTGGAATTCCTTGTGATAGGTGCTGTGTGTATATCATGATCACTGTGGACAAGCAGTAGCTGAACGAGATTTTGATTGCTGTATCGAATACCATTTTACTGCTGTACTTGTGAATGAACAGAACCTGCAAAGAATTTCATGATAGTAAGTAATTCATATTGTCTATCCATTTAAGCTTTTGAATTCAATGATATTTAATATAAGATTAGGTGTTTTGTTGCTTTTGAAAAAATGTTTGTTTCTATTACTTTTCATTGTTCTCTAAATGATTCATATGATCTTCCAAAACTTTTGTTATCATTTCTAGTTACCCTCAGATGCAATTGGTTGGAGAAATAATACAGGAATAGCTTCTATAATTTGAGAAGAATAATCAATTTGTTTTAAAAATAATTGTCGCATGAATGAAAGGTACAATAATTGCAAATCATCTATAGTGATTATTGAAGCAAATTTCTTAGAAAACTGTTGAGCAGAAACGTGCAGTTTGTTCTAGATCTTGTACATGACTTCATATAATAATAATTCCAAAATTATTATTATACACAAAGTAGACTCCACGAGTTCTTAATGACAATTAAATTAGTAGAGGAAAACTAATGAAGTCGGATATTTATAAGTGGATGGTTAATTATTCAAGTTCATACGACAAAAAAATAAAAAAATAAATAAAAATCAAGATAGGTTAAAAGTCTTCCTAATCCCGTAAACGAAAAGACGAGTTCCGAAATCTCCAGAGGAACCATAAGATGCAAAGAAGGGAGAAGTGATCCAGATCTCTCCGCCATTTTCTTTTCGCCACGAATCTTCATACAATTATATAAAGGACTCGAGAAATTTTCGAAGAATAAGATTAACAGGTTCTCAATAAAGCCACAATCGAACTGAATCGAAGAATTAATTTTAAAATCGGATTGAAATTTCAGAACTCAATCAGAGGCGTAGAGAAATTGAGAGTACCTCGAAGATCCTCTTGAAGAAATGAAGAGTGAGAGCAGCTTTAAGCACAAGAATCCTCTCATTGTCGCTTGGAAAGAACCAAAACGACGCCGCACCGGCGAGAAATGCCGGCGTATAAGCCAAGAGCATTCCATATTTGGACGAAAGCTTAGGTTCCTCCGATGGAGCTTTCGGAGAACTATTCGCATTCCAGAACTTGGAGTACTGCAAATGCTTACCGTTAATCTCGGAAATCCCAGCCATCCCCATCGCCGTCGAGCTCACCACCGTCATAACGTTTACGAACGTGGAAGGAGGCGGAGGGAAAAGAAACGCCGACAAAATACCCATCGCCGCCGAGAACCAGATGAGAAAAACCGCCAGAAACTCTCTGTAGAATTTTGATACGCCTTTGGAGGCGTCAGCGTCGAGGATGAGGATTTATAGATCGCAACCATTTTCAGTTTAGGGGATTGAACGTTCGGGTCGAGCCGAGAACCAGTGGAGCTGTATATCGCACGTTACATTGAAATTGCAGATGGGCGTTTCCGTAAATTCACATCTTTCATTTTAGTCTCTTCGTCCCGATTTTAATTCAATTTTATTTTCAATAATAAATTTAGTTAATCGAACTTAATTCTTAAGAAATTTTATTAAATAATATAATAATTCTCAGACTAAAAAAGCACGGAGTAAATTACCTATTGTTAATAATTTATTATGTATTATATATAGCTAACTATTTATTATATATAACTATTTATCATATATAATTTTATCCGATATAATTTTTATTTATTCTCATATGTTACATCTCATTTACGACATGAGGAGTAAATATTCCATAATCCAACATAAAAATACATTTTCACAATTTATAAGAATATTTAAAGACTGAATTTTTTGAATGAAATAAACAATAAACTATTACAAAAAAAATAAAAAATACATGGAAGACAAAATATATATTTTAATTTCTATTTAAAACAAAATAATAATTTATTATATCTAGTAGAGGTTTATTATTTTAATTTTATTTCAAATATGTTTTCATAAATTTAAACTGTTTTTTAAATTAATTTATCTCATGCGAAACTAAAAAAATTTGGCATTAAGAATAGTTGGTTATTAAAATGTTGACAAGTAATTTAAATTTTTAGAACAATTAATAAAATCTTTTACGATTTATGGATCTATCTATTTATTTATTAATATGACGCTAAAAATATAAAGTAAGAATATCAATCTTAATATTTTAACTATTTAAATAAAAAAAAACGTCTAAAATTACCTTTATGCTTAAAAAAAAAAAAATATTAGTTTTGAAGAAAATATCCTTTTTGAAAATAACATTTAAATTTTGAAAAGTATTTAAACTTACTTTTAAAAAAATTAGAAGATATTAATAAAACTATTTTAAAGTGGAAAGGTATTTTCCTAAAAATTTAATTTAAAAAATATTTTTTAGTTGAAAGGTATTATTTAAAAATGTTTTTTAAATAAAATATAAAATTTAAGATTGATCTTATTAATTTTATTATGAACTAGTGGTTAGTTGAACTTTCACAATAATTAAAAATTAAAATCGAAACATAACAATATATATCCTAATGTAATTGAAATTATTATAATAATAATTAGTGGATTCTATTTCACTCTCTTTTATTATTTAGATAAAGATGTAAGAGTTTGTAAATATTATAATAAGATGAAGTTATTTTTTTAATAATTATCCAACTATTATTCTTTTGAAATAAAAATAAAACAAAATGTTGTCGTTAACGGTTCACCTTTTTTGCAATATATATATTTATTGTTTTCATTAACTGATAATATATATTTTTATTATCTTATATATATATATATCTTATAATAATAATTATTTGGTGTCGATTTATTTTATTGCAAATATTGTGCTTTCTTTTTTGGACCCGCCCATATCGTCACCCCTCATAATTTATATTTTTTTTAATTCACCATGAGAGACTTTTCTAAGTTACAATTAAATTATATGATTTAAAATAATTATAATTCTGAAGAAACACATTCAATGTATCCACTGAATTTAAAATTTTAAAAGATACAATTATATTAAAAAAATAAATAAAGTTTCATACATTATTTCATATCGAAAGCCTTCTCTTTTGTTGCTAAAACTAAAATGTATATATTACAAATTATATAACATTTTATTATTTTAATTATTCGGATAATTAATTTTCTAAAAATAAAAAAAACAAAACCAATGGATTATGCCCAACATTATTAAACAAAGAGATAGAAGAAATGCTGGCATGTTAATCACAGCCATTCACAAACAAAATAATAATAATGTAATTCGATCTTATTTGAATAATTATAATATTTCCTTAATATCTCTCACTTATTTAATAATCATTCAAATGCTAATCATAATACAGCAAACCCATGTAATAATCAGGTGGAATAATTATTATCTTTTTCTTAAAAAAATGGAACAATAATTAATTACGGCCCGATCGATATAATTACCAAAAACCCACAAAATAATACAATGGTTCCAATTAAATAAAAAATTTATTCAACGTGACACCAACATGATGGATTAAGCATATGATAGGATACATCAAGCATAATATAAAAAACTTAAATTATAAAAAATACACTTAAACATCCATCATTATCATTTCAAATAATATTATATGCGATTATATAACTTGAAATTGTGACAATGATCTAGAATAACGTGATCATCTTCTTATTCAAGTCTCAATTTTCATACGACACGTTCGATCCATCGAGGAGTATTTAATATAATTTGACCAAGATTAAAATACAAAGGGAACAAGGGCTTTGATATGGTGAGGGAAGTCCTCAAATTTAGAGACATACCATTTCCTAGTGGCGTAGCTTCGCCCACCCAAATACATAGCCGTGGCGATGGCGAAGCACAATGAGTAGATTGTCTGAGAGATGAGCGCGAATCCGAAATAAACAGTTATTTCAAACAGATAGTGAGGGCAAATCACAACGCAGAAGAGGCCTCCTTTGGGGATTTTATAGCCTGTTTCGCCCTTTTTTCTAGTTTGGGACAATATATAATGGTGGTAAAAGTTCCCGATAATTCCTATCAGAAACAGAGCAATTCCGTTAAGGATATTTAGTAATAAATTATAGTTTACCATATATATTATATTTGATATTTTATTATAAGGCAAATATTAGACATTTGCCTTATTATCATAGGTATCTTTCCATTTATTACTATTTCCATTTATTACTATTTCCATATCCTTGTAATTCATTTGATTATAAATAAGATAACTTTCACACCATTTAGGTATGGTGGATTAATCAAACATTCACATGGTATCAGAGCCCTCTCGGTTTAACAACCCCCATCCTTTCTTTTCAATGGCTTTTGAATCCTCTAATCTTCTTCTCCACCACCCCTGCTGGTTTTGACGCCGCAGGGGTAGTCTTCATGGCTGCCGTAGTCGGAGCCGATTGATTACTCTTCGGCTCCACCCTATTGACCTCCAAATCACCTTTCGTCATACTCTGTACATATAACCTCACCTTTTCCAACCAAATCGGTTTTCCCCTTGGCCAATATAGTCTCTCTCATTTTCTTCTCAATCAACCTTCATCCTTCACATAAACTCTAACCTAAACCTATCAACCTTTTGCAGAGATTTACCTTCGGAATCTGGGTGCCGCACTGGCCTATTCGCCAACCAAGTTGCCGCCGCCCTTCCTGCCAAAATTGGCTTCTTTGCCCGATGAGGCGACTCTTCCGACTGCCCTTCTCGCCAAAATTGGCTCCTTCGCCCAATGTGGCGACTCTTCCGGCTTCAACATTGTATTTGTCCCTTGCTCTAGGTTTCCCCTTCTACTTCTTGGGGTTAGAAATATTCTCACCAGAGCCAAGGCAGCATCGTCGCTAAGCGACAATCCCTCTTCATGGGTTAGACATATTCTCGCTGAAGCCAAGGCAGCATCGCCGCTGAGCGGCGATCCCTCTGCAATTTTTGATGGCCAAGAACCGGGTTGTTAGCATCTTCATGAAAAGTGTTTCTCAACCTCTTTGAATTTTTCAGATTCAAGCTTCACGTTCGTTTAAATCCGACGCTTAGCTTGCGGTGGGGTGTTAAGGATATTTAGTAATAAATTATAGTTTACCATATATATTATATTTGATATTTTATTATAAGGCAAATATTAGACATTTGCCTTATTATCATAGGTATCTTTCCATTTATTACTATTTCCATATCCTTGTAATTCATTTGATTATAAATAAGATAACTTTCACACCATTTAGGTATGGTGGATTAATCAAACATTCACACGATGAATTTCAAATCAATGGATGGCTCTGGAAGTGTTCTTGAGAGTTCTTGAGCGAAAATCATCAGCGCTGTAGAGGAGAAGTAGCTGAGGGAGATTATTAAGGCTGAATCGAGCGCCATTTTGCCGCTGTATTTGTGAATAAACAGTACCTGTGTAGGAATTTCAGGCGGAATTTGAGGAATGGCGATGAATGTAAAAGAAGACGGAATTTAGTGCAAAAAATTTGAGTACCTCAAAGTTCCTTTTGACGAAATGGAGAGTGAGAGCAGATTTAAGCAGAAGAATCCTCAGATCTTCGTTTGGAAAGATCCAGAACGATACAGCGCCGGCGAGAGCCGCCGGCGCATAAAGTAAGAGCATCCCCGATCTTGATGAAATCTTGAATTTCTCCGGACTAGATGATTTCGTAGCGCTATTATTTGTATTCCAGAATTTCGAATACTGTAAATGCGCCGTTCCTTTCGCTTCCGAAAGTCCGATCACCGCCACCACCACTGAACTCACCACCGTCATCACGTTCACTAACAGTGAAGGCGGCGGCCGGAAAAGAAGCGTCGAAATAGTATCCATCGCCGCCATCAACGAAGCCTCTGAGTAAAAGTTTCTTTACAAATTTGTAGCTCTCGGTTTGAAGCACCGGAGAGATGGGTTTTATAGAAAGGGTCTAGGTGACAACGAAGAGGGGCATTTTGGTCAATTTGGCTAAACGGCATCGTTTTTCTTTAAACGGGAAACAAAAATCAAAATTTCAGCAAGGTGACGTGGCGTGTGATCTGATCTTCAATATTTTTCCGAAAATTAAAAAACAAAAAGCAAATTATTGGAATTGGTGAGCTCCGTTCCATATATATAAAAAAATAAATTGTCGGCTAAGAACTATTAATATAAGACACGTCACGCCTTACCCTATCTGTTAATCATACTGAAAATTCGGTTTATTATTATTATTATTATTTAAATGTTGTGTATGGTTGTAATAAAATTGCATGCGTAATTAAATGCTTGATATTAATAATTAATTATATATATATATAGCGTAGAAGCAGTAATTTCATAAATAATTATTTTGTAGATAACCTAAGATAAATTTATAATTGGTTTGAGTAAATTTTTTGTTGGAAAAAAAAATATTTATAATTAAGTAATGTATTTTTCTTAAACCAATCATAAATATATATTTTCTACCAATACTACTTTATAAATAATTTATTAACTTAAATTTGTTAAATTAATTTACTCAACTTTATTATATCATAATAGTCCTAATTTATATATTGGTTAAATAATTGATAATTTATATATATTGGTTTATTTGTGTAACATTATTAGTTGATATTATATCATAAAAAAAATATTTCAAACTCATTTATTTGAATTATGTATAATTCCAATTATTAAGAAAATTACTCTAAATATATATATTCAATCGTGTATAATTTTAATTATTAAAAAACTTACTTTAATGAAGTATATATTAAACTTTGATGATTTCAATTATTAAAGAAATTACTTTAAAACGTATATATTAAATCATGTATAACTTCAATTATTAAAAAAAAATTACCTTAATTAGGTATATATTAAATCGTGTAGAACTTCAATTAATAAAAATAGAAAATAAATTGATAATCCCGACGTTACTCTGGAACATGATCAAGAACGGTTGTTGATATATATAACTAAGTTTGGAACGATCATATATTTATTAAATTTAATGAATTTAAAAATATGAAATAAGTATGAATTTAAAAATATTCATATATTTAGCCTCGTTTTCGGATCGATTAGGTTCAAATCCATTGGTTTGGTTATTGGAAGAAAATTGAACACCCGATTTAATATTAAAAAATTATTAAGACCAACCCGACCCAAATTATATTAAAAAGGAAATAAAACTGGATTTAGAAGCCCATTAAAATACACATTTTTATTTTAAAAAATGGAATTTAAAATTTAAAAGTTTCCTATCCACAGGACATCGATGGAAAGCCCTATTCCGCCCCTATTTTATTTTTCATATTTACAATTTTTTATTATTTAATATTATCATATAGGTTAAACAAACTAAAAAAATTTAAAACATAATCATTAATTTAATATATATATATATATATATATATATATATATATATATATATATATATATATATATATAAGTGAGGTAGGGAGGGAGACGAAAAATATAATATGATGTATAGTGTTTGTCTAAACGAGGAATCTACTCCCTGTTCGAGGGAGGGTAAAATGGACATCTCTAATCAAAATATTCGTGGTCGTCTAAACCTTAAACCCTAAAGCTTAAATCCACGCCACCCATCCTTCTCTTTTGGTGCCTTTGTACCCCCTCCCTTGCTACAGCTGGTGCTTTTCTACCCGCCCTAGAGTCCTCTCTCTCCACTCTTTAGTAATAAAGAGAGAGAATAGTAAATAAGACATCATTATATGATATTTCTTACAGTTAAAATACTAAATTCTTTCGTCTACAAATGTGGAATTAAAGAACAAGTAGAATCGATAATGTGTAGCTATAATATGAGAATCCACAACAAATTAACTTGCAAGAAAGGTGTTCATAAGGATGAGATATTATGCTTCATGAAAAATTTTGTACCTAACATGGCAACACGAGCTTCAACGGGTATGCCATCGCCGTTTGAAGTACTTGTATGAACCAACCATCCTATTCCAACTGGTAGAATTTTAATAAATTTAAATTAAATTATATTACAAGTTGATAAAACTATGAGAAAAAAATAAAAGACTTCGTCCAATTCGTCTCAATTCGTCTCAATTCTCTCGAGAGAGCAGCCAACCGAAGAAGCCGGCGAATTGAATTGAATTGAATTATCCAATTCGACACGTCTTGGCGCAATAAAATCCCCCAAACCAATAAACCCATTACACTCGCAGCCCTGTTTACCAACAATCGACCTGTTCAACCCAACCTCGACTCTTCGGCTACTTTGTCCTCACCTATGTCTGTATTGCTCATCGTTTTCGCCTCTCGCCGCTTCTGTGCTTAAAGATCCACGCCCCTTTGATTCTTTCCCCAGATGGGTCGATGAATTTCTTCGACGAGTTCAATTTCTTGATTGGCTCTTCCGATTTCTGGGTTTGTGTATGGATTTAGTGATGTGTATTGTAGTTCATCTTCAGATTTGATTGAATACAGGGATCGAGGCATTGACTTTAATACTTTACTTGTTTACTGTTCTTAATCTTTTGGGTATCTGAGCGTTTACTTTGATATTGATTCCTCTGCCATTTTTGCACTAATAAATTGTTCTCAAGTTTTGGGGATGATCTGATTCTGATTCTGATTCTTGATTCTGTTCATATTGCTTATGATTATTTGACTGTAATTCTGTGATTACTTTTGGGGTTGACTTGGAGATTGTGTGATGATCGAATCTTATGTTTAGAATGTATCACTGTGCTTGAATTGAGGAAGGTTTTTGAGTTGTGGGAATCAATGGGGAATACTTGTGTAGGACCAAGCATTTCAAAGAATGGATTCTTTCAATCTGTGTCTGCTGCTATGTGGCGCTCTGGATCGCCTGCGAATTCAGTTTCTCATCATACTAATGGAGAAAACGTCCATGACGTAGCAGCTACCGAACCCGAATCGGCTTTGCCAATTCAAAACCACCCCCCTGAGAAGGTGACAATGCCAGAATCAGTAGTCAAACCTGAACCGCCCTTGGAACCTAAGGCACGCCCTAACCTTGTTATGAAGAGAGTAGGTAGTGCTGGTCTTCGGGGCGAACCGATTTTACAGACAAAAACGGGGAACTTTAAGGAGTATTATAGCTTAGGTAAGAGATTGGGTCAAGGACAATTTGGGACTACATATATGTGTGTGGAGAAGGCAACTGGGAAAGAGTATGCTTGTAAGTCAATTGCTAAGAGGAAGTTGGTCAATGAGGATGATGTTGAGGATGTGAGAAGGGAAATTCAGATAATGCATCACTTGGCTGGACACCCGAACGTTATATCGATCAAGGGGGCTTATGAGGACGCTGTTGCGGTTCAGGTAGTTATGGAGTTATGTGCGGGCGGTGAGCTATTTGATCGGATCATTCAACGTGGACATTATACTGAAAGGAAGGCTGCTGAGCTTACTAGGACCATAGTCGGGGTCGTGGAGGCGTGTCACGCTCTTGGAGTCATGCATCGAGACCTTAAGCCCGAGAATTTTCTCTTTGTTAGCAAGGAAGAGGAGTCACTTCTCAAAACAATTGATTTTGGACTATCAATATTCTTCAAACCAGGTATATAGCTGTGATTCTTGTCATGATACTTACAATAGCTATCAGCTTTGTATATCTAATATGTTCTAAATGAGTTGAGATGATATTTGTTGTCTGGTGCTGTTTTGAATCTATGGTGTTACTGATCGGGGTGAAGCTAATGAATGTTTTACGAAGAGCTTCCTTGGGCTTTCCCTTTCGAGTTTCCTTTCATGGTTTTTAAAACGTGTCTGATAGGGAAAGGTTTCCATACCCTTATAAAGAATGTTTAGTTCTCCTCTCCAACTGAAATCCACCTTCCCTTTGGGTCCCATCGTCCTTGCTGGCACACTGCCTCGTGTCCACCCCCCTCCGGGGTTCAGTCTCCTCGTTGGTACATTGCCCGGTGTCTGGCTCTGATACCATTTGTAACGGTAAGTCCAGCGCTAGCAGATATTGTCCTCTCTTTGGCTTTTCCTTTCAGCCTTCCTCTCAAGATTTTTAAAACGCGTGTGTTAGGGAGAGGTTTCCACGAATGCTTCATTCTCCTCCCCAACCGATGTGGGATCTCACAATCCACCCCCCTTCAGGTCTTAGTGTCCTTGTGAGCACATTGCTTCGTGTCCACCCCCCTTCGGGGTTCAGTCTCCTCGTTGGTACATTACCCGGTGTCTAGCTCTGATACCATTTGTAACAGTCCAAGTCTACCGCTAGCAGATATTGTCCTCTCTTTGGGCTTCCCCTCAAGGTTTTTAAAACGCGCTAGGGAGAGGTGTTCACACCCTTATAAAGAATGCTTCATTTTCCTCCGCAACCAATGTGGGATCTCATATTTTCGTTTTGAAGAACGAGTTTAAAACTCTAGGACACTATTTTCGTGTGATGTTTACGTGCATTTGAATGTAAAACTGTATGGTTGTACTGGGCTGTGATTTTGACTCTTCATCATGGATTATGTTCATTCAGGTGAAAAGTTTAATGATGTGGTCGGGAGTCCATATTATGTCGCACCTGAAGTCCTGCGGAAGCGCTACGGTCCCGAATCCGATGTTTGGAGTGCTGGAGTAATTGTCTACATTCTGTTAAGTGGAGTACCTCCTTTTTGGGCTGGTACGTCTAGTTTGCTCCATACTTTTTGGAAGTTTAACCTTCATATCTGAACATGAATTTCTTGTTATGAACACTTTTATCCTCTCTTATTCCGTTTTCCATGTATCGATGTATAGAAACCGAACAAGGGATATTTGAAGAGGTCCTGCACGGTGATCTCGACTTCTCTTCGGACCCTTGGCCTAGCATCTCCGACAGTGCAAAAGATTTGGTGAGAAGAATGCTTATTCGAGACCCGAGAAAGAGATTGACAGCGTATGAAGTTTTGTGTAAGTCATCTCTTGAATTTCATGTTCTATAGTTGTTCATCATATGTTGAGTAATTCATGCAGCAGCTCTTCTAAGGCCTCGAATGTCCTCGAGATCCTTTTACGTGTATGATCAGTCTTTTTTCTCGTTCCAAGGTACTCATTGAGCTAATTCATTACAGGCCACCCTTGGGTTCAAGTCGACGGTGTGGCTCCAGACAAGCCACTCGACTCGGCGGTCTTGACTCGCTTGAAGCAGTTTTCAGCCATGAACAAGCTCAAGAAAATGGCTATCAAGGTAGGACTTTGACTTTCCCTATATTGATAGCTGTAGAAAAATCTACTTGCTTACATTGAAATAAGTGAACGCTGAAAAGAAATCAACCCAAGAGAGTGCTCGGGAATCATAAAACGTTCCTCTAGTTGACAATGATAAAAGAAAGAATCTTAAATTCGAAAGACATGTGGAGGAGGAACTCACAATGTAGCCTTAGAACGAATAGTGTCCCGAACCTTCTTCTGTCCAACCAACCCTCCCATATTGTCGTGGTTAGTCCACTCTCGTTTTTTGGACCAACTTCTAACCAAACAAAAAAGGGTGAGTCACTCCCCGGCCAGAGAGCCTCCAGGACAAGGGGGTGGTAGTCAACCATCCACTCTCGAAATTCATATGGATCAACCGATCTCGAGATTCATTATTTCATGAAAACGGGACAAATGGGACTGATTCTTTTGTTTGGAATTGTGTAGGTCATTGCAGAGAGCTTATCCGAAGAAGAAATTGCTGGGCTCAAGGAAATGTTCAAGATGATAGACACCGACAACAGCGGTCAGATCACTTTTGAAGAACTCAAAGCTGGTTTAAAAAAATTTGGAGCTAATCTTAAGGAGTCCGAAATTTATGATCTAATGCAAGCAGTAAGTATTTTGTCGAGATTTTCTTACGATGTTCGAGAACGTTTTTTTGGTCGAGATGTATCAAATCTATGCTACGGAATTGCAGGCCGATATCGATAACAATGGAACCATCGACTACGGGGAGTTCGTAGCTGCCACATTACATCTAAACAAAATCGAGAAGGAAGATCATCTTGTAGCAGCTTTTTCGTATTTCGACAAGGACGGAAGTGGGTTCATTACGCACGACGAACTTCAACAAGCATGTAAAGAGTTCGGGATAGAAGATCTTCAATTGGAAGAAATGATGCACGAGGTCGATGCAAACAACGTAAGTAGTTTTCTAGTCTTTGCGTGATTGTTGATTAAACCGACCATGTTATGATTCTCCTTACTTTACAGGACGGAACGATCGACTATAACGAGTTCGTGGCAATGATGCAGAAAGGAAATGTAACAAATGCCGCTGGGAAGAAAGGTCTTCAAAGTACCTTCAGCATTGGGTTTAGGGAGGCTCTAAAACTATAGTGTTCTATGTAAAGGTACCATTATTCAAGTTAGTTTCTTCATTGTTCTTGGCTGCTCGCCTGCTCGTTTTCGGCACCACGTCACGAGCTTGCTTGCACTCGACATCATGTTGTTCATTGCCATCGCGAGCTTGCTTGCACTCGACACCATGTCGTTCATCGCCATGGCTTCCTTTTTGAAAACTATGCAGAGAAAAGAGCATAGATTTTTTCTTCATTTTCCCTTGCATTGTTTTGTATCATTATGCAAGACTTTTGATGAGTAATGAAAATTTTATTTCTCAAATAAATAATATAATTTATTGCAATAGTAAATAAATTTATGAAAAATAATTAAAATAAAAAAAATAAACTTGGGGTGAACTCAAATAAATAAATTAAATTAAAGATATTTTTGAGCTTTAGATGTATTATCATAGTTCTTATTATTAGTATAAGGTTATTTGTGATGTCGACGTTGGTTAGAAATGAGAACAAAACACCATTATTTATAAGGGTGTAGACACCTTCCCTAAACGCGTTTTAAAACCTTGAGGGGAAGCCGAAAGAGAAAGTCCAAAGAGGACAATATCTACTAACGGTGGGTTTGGACCGTTACAAATGGTATTAGAGCCAAACACTGGACGATGTACCAGCCTTCTCACTATTCCCCGAAGGGGTAGACACGAGACGATGTGCCAGTAAGGACGTTGGCCCCAAAGGGAGTAGATTTGGTGGCGGTCAATGTCTCATATCGATTGGAGAAAGGAACTAGTGCCAGCGAGGATAGTGCCTCAAAGGTGTCCCACATTAGTTTATTAAACTATATAAATATTTTTTAATTTTTAATTTTTTTTAATAAAGTTTTAGCGAATATTTTCGAGAGAAAAGTGTAAAGTTAATAACTAATTTTATTAATTTAATTTTAAGTCTTTTTATATAATAGGAAATTCCCTCTCTCAAGATATCCGGACTGTCACATCACAACTAATTTCGCGCCATTAAAGAACCAGAAAAAACCTCCATTTCCTGATCTCCTCCTCATGAATGTTTCTCTCGCCTTGGTTCTCATTCATGCTTGGAACTTGATTGAGATTTGAGAAACTGTGTTGTTCTTCCTCGCCTTGGTTCTCATTCATGGCGACTGCAAGGGAACAGAAAAGCGGGGAAGAAGAAGGGTTGAGAACGGCGGGGAAGTTTGCAGATAAAAAATTCTTTAGGAAACCACCGAAAAAACCTTATGATCGGCCGCCGACTACCCTAAGAACATCTGGAAACAATTCGTGGATCTTGAAGCTCGTTGATCCGGCTCAAAGGCTCATTTCCTCTGGTTCTCAGATGCTTTTTTCCTCCGTGTTCCGAAATTTCCCTCACCGTTTACCGTCTTGTATTTCGTCTCCAGGTTTCAGTTTCAACTTCTTAATGATGTTCTTATGGCTCTGTAGTGGATTATTCAAAGATGCTTTTGCTGGAGTTGATTTTTGTGATTTGCGACTGTTTGTTGCTTTTCAATGTTCGATTTTATTTCGCAAACTTCTTGAGATTAAGTTAGTCGATCTGGTTCGTAAAATGCTTCCATGTAATGATTATTTTGATATCTTGTAACTTTTTCATCCATCAAAGAAGTCTTAGCTAATTCAAAATCTACTGGCACGCACTAGACTTGAACGGGTTTTCTTTTAGGAACTTCATAGTTGAGTAGCATCTGAATATATATATTTTTTTTTTCTGTTTATGCATTTGATGGCATCAGAATCAATCCAGTCAAGAAGGGATGACAAGAAGGCCGATGTAACGGTAAGTTTTCTTTCGGTGTCGAGCGGGTGCTCGTGCATAGAAGATATGAATGCTCTTGAAAGTTGGTGCTTGAACTTGATGGTCATTAATTATTGTATTATTATTCAAGAGAAATTGGTTATCTATATCGTTCTGGGCTGTGTTCTGAATGCACTTGCTTTGATCAGTCTAATTGGAGAATTTCTTATGGTATGGAAATTTACTTGCAAAGGATCCTTTTGAAGTCCAAGTAGCAGCAGCTAATGTAGGTGATAATCAGAATAGAGCCGATCGATTTGTGATGGTGGAGCTTGAAAAAGCTATGAAGCAAAAGACCTTCACCAGGTAAGTTTTGCAGTATATGTTTATTTTGCCTTACATGAGTACTATTTTAGGTAGTTCGGATTTTATTTTCTTATTGTTAATAGACTTGTTCTTTTGATCTTGGGATAATTGCTATGGCTCCTTAAAGTGAAACCCACTCTGCAGGTCTGAGATTGATCATTTGACGGCTCTAATGCATTCAAAAAATGTTGATTTGCCTGATGTGAATGAGGAGAAAAGGGTTAAGTTTATCTCTTCTATTCCAGAATCTAACAGGAACGAGTTTAAAAAAATATCAAATTCAGAAGTTAGAATGCGCAGGCAATCGTTCCCAACTCCCTTCTTGAGTTCAAGTGTACGGGTCTTTCTTTTCATCCCCATTTCTTTCTCTCGTGATTTTCGTGCTGAGAGTTCCCAAATAAGTTATGTTCGATATGCTTTTTTTGATACTGTGATCACATTTTGTGGCTAAAACGTCTTCAGGTCCTTGATGAAGATATTTCTTCACCTGCAGAGATAGCTAGAGCATACATGGTGAGTAGGCAGCCAAAACTTTGTCCTTCAATGCCATCTTTGCGGGCTCAAGGACTTGGGGAAAATTCTGCTGGTCCAACTAGTACATCATTCTCTTCAAAATCAATAGATATGTTGCTTGTGCCATCATCTACTAGTCAGGTACTTGTGGGAATGATTCCAGCAACATTCATTTCCTAGGTTTTATGAGACCCCTAGTATGTTTTTTTGGCCGTGCTTTTGAGTGGGATCACTGTTAACCGGAGATTGTAATCTTGAAATAAGTTAGATTTTATAATCTAGTCATCCTGCATGTCTCAGATGCTCTGTTTCATGTAGTTGCACGTTAAATCATCTTACTGTGTTGTTTCTACCATATGCAGGGTTTGAAACGTAGGAGTTCATTTTTTGATAATCACATTGGACCCAATGTTCCTCTGCGCAGAATTCGACAAAAACCTAACATTCATCTCTCAAAGGGATTAAGCTTACCCGTTTCTACTAGACCTATTTCTGGTCCTGTAGATAGACTTAGTTTTGATGCTTCTCAGAGCTCCAAATTTGGGAAAGTTCATAATTTTCCATCTTCCATTTGGAACTCACAATTGTCTCTTAAACCCAAGAAAAATTCTGCAAGAAAGTTTATTATGAACGTGGAGAGTGATGACATTCGTGGTGCAGGCAGCAGCTCTATTTATACTCCTTCAAGGTCTTATAAGATGGCTTCTAAGATATTGGAGCAGCTCGATAAGTTGACCCCTCCAAAGGAGAAAGTTAAACGACTTCCTGTTGGGGAAATATCTCCCCCTAAGCTGTCACCATTCACAGTAGATGGGCATCTCAAAATTGTGAAGGATGTGGACTTACCCAGAGATGAAGAACTTGTTCATGACAACAAGCAGTCAATTAGTTTGCATGGCGTTCCATATCATGACAACCAAGAAAACACTTCACAAAATAAAGAGAAGCTGGAAAATATGAAACCATCGGATCCTCATCATAGATGTGCTCTACTGAAGGACTCAGGGTCCATAGGTTCAAGTAAGGATTCCATGATTGATCTTGGAGTGCCTGCGCCTGCTGTGGTGAAATCTACTATTCAGCCCCCAAAAAACAAACTGGCGTTTCTGATGTGGCCTGACAAGGTTCGTAATCTTTTAACTTCCCAAAATGGAATGGTAAAACATTGAGGTCTCATGGTAAAAATCAGAGTTCAAACATTTTATGTGATGCTTACAGACTCGCTTTCTGCCATTGATTAAAGTACCATTTTGTAGTTTTTTTGCTCTCTTTCTTGATGAGGGTGTTAGATTCTGTTACGATAATGTTTGAAGTTATTTCACTTACCTGCGTTCAAGTAAAACTTCAGACACCTAATTAGAATACATACATGGTTTTCATTTTTTCTTCTGCATATCTTTTACTTGAAGGATTCTAAGTAATGCACCTCTGATCAGATATTATGTTCCTTCTTGTTTCTTTCCTTGGGATATGTTTGTTTAAACCTTTGAACTTTTAACCAGTCTCACTGCCTTTCTCAATAATAGGATCGTGTTGACCATGATGAAAGTTCTCCTGATAGAGTTGCACCTGCTACCGCGGAGGATAGGGAAGGTGACATTTCTTTGGCTGTGAGACAAACAACTGCTAGTGAGTCTCTAGCACCATCAAAGCCACAAACTGCATCTGAAGTGATAGTGGGTTCTCCTCTCAACAGAAGTTCTGATTTGAAAACTTCTGAAGGTAGCGTTCATGATGATATGGATACCAGTTTTACGTTCCAAATTGCACCTTCACAACCAGAAACTATTGATTCTGCACCCACCAATTCTTTTGGAAACAATGATCTTCCAGAAAATAAGCGAATTGATTCTCCAGTTTTTAGCTTTGGAAATAATGTCTCTCCACGAAAACAGCCAAACGCTAGTTCTACTGCATTTGATTTTGGGAATAAGGATGCTTCTCGAACAGAATTATGTGCTGCTTCCGAAAATGGCAATGGAGCTTCATTCCCATACACGCAGTGGAATCCAGCTTCTTCATGTTCAGATGTCCAAGGATCAGTGTATTTAAACGCCGTTGCTTCTTCAAATCATAAGCTAGATTGCTCTTGGGGGTCAGTATATTCCTTTCGATCATCTATTCAGAAGTACAGTTTTGTAGCCTTTCCATTATCTTTTATCAATTAGAGAAACTTGCGCATGTCTCCTATGGGTTTTGAGTGGCTTGATTGATACCTTGTCTCCCCTTCTCTTCTAATCTCTCGTTCACTTTTCTTATATTTTAAGAAGACAAAAACCTTGAATGCACGGAAAATATTAGGTGGAGGCATTGAAAATTCGTTCTAACTGGATGTGAATTTCATAGAAAGAGAATCATTTGTTGAAGTTCTTAAGGGAAGAAAAGAACTTTATAGCACATGCCTCAAGAGCTTCTAGATGACATTTATTTGAACATTTTTTCATTTCATCTTTCTTCACTTCTGACATTATTTTTGCATTCGTTCACTTTTTATGCCTGGCAAGTTTGTTTCCTTCATGTTGTTCGTTGTTTACAGTTCATGCAATTTTGTCCATTGAAGAATCGGCGTCATGAAAACTGATAGTGATGATATTTCAAATTTTGTTTTCACCAGGACATGCAATGATGCATTCTCATCTTCTGCCTCCATATCAGCTGGACTTGCAGTCTCATTTTGCCCGACTGCTAGATATCAAAGTTTAAATAATGGCCTTTCCATTTCATGTCCATCTCAATACTCATCGTGCAGTCCGCTAACTCCATCTATGGGGCAAAGTTCATCAAGATATATCTTCCTCTCAGCCAAATGTGCCAGCAACGATGCTAATATAACCACCAATGACAAGCACCCGTCAACCACAAATGTGATAACTTCATCTGCTCCGTCGGCTATGGGCTTAGGAACTCATGAAGACAAGATCAAGCAGGATGCAAGCCTGCACATTGCAAATAACACTTATTTCAGTAGCATATCTACACCAGCAAATTCTCACTATAATATGTTCAGCTTCAATCCTGGAGCAACGCCTTCGTTTGTGAATAATCATCAGCTGAGAACACCTACTGTTAGCAGTGCACCTGAGCTTAGTGCTCAGGGAGTTTCTGCTGGAAAGGAATTTACAGCTAATGCGGAACAAACTTCAATCATTATGGGATCATTCATGTCTCATGCATCATCGGTGATGGCTGGAAAAGCATCCATCTCTTCTGGCATTTCTTTTGGTTGCTCATCTCCTGCTTCTGAACTGTTTCATTCAGGAAGCAGGCCATCGGAATTTCCCATCACTGGGTTTACTTGTGCCCAAGCAACTTCAACCCATTTTTCTACTCCTAGGACACATCTTGGGTTCGAGTCATTTACAGGGGCATCTTTCAGTTCAATATGTTCTACAACCTCAGCAGCAGCAATGGCAGGTTCCTCATCGAAGACAGTTTCAAGTAATTCTCATCACACAGTTGCTTTTAGAGTTTCTACAGGTAACAAGGACTGTGAAGATCAGGGTACCTACAAGGACAATGTTCCACTTTTCAGCCAAAAGCCAGTCCCACCCCCTTCATCAGGATTCTCTTTTAGTCAAGCCACCCCTGAATCAAATCCCTTTCTAGTTGGAAAGCAGCAGACATTGGCTGAACCCCAAAACTCTTCTCCATATATTGCTCATTCTAGCAGCTTAGAAGCTAGAGGCAGCTTCCCCTTGAGTGCTGGCGGCGGTAACAAGGCTAACCGGAGACTTGTGAAGGTCAAACGAAAGAAATAAAGAAAACATCTCTGGCAGAGTTGCTAGAAAACAACCCCAAGTGTCCACCTCCCAAATTCTTGTAAATTTTATAATCTGATTTACGGTCACATTTATGTCCATCCCTCTTCAACTCCCGCGAAGAAAAGAGTGGCTTTAAGGTTGAGGAAAGCCAGTGATTTCAGGTACGTACGCAAATTCTTTTATCATTTAAAATAGTGCTGCCTGCTAAACATATGAATTTGACAAGGAGATTGTCTTTTACAACATTCAACGGAGTCATCCATTCTAGGAAAAGTAGCTTCCTGTTGTAATCCTGTAGTTTCTCATTTTACACAAATAACCTATTTAGAATGATTTTGGAAGTGCTTAAAAATACTTTCTTAAACGCTTACAAAACTTTTTCTTAAGCACTTAAAAAATCATTTCAAATTGGCCTATGATTGATTTTCTCAATTCTCTTATTATACCTATATTTGACCTAGATTTGTGGAGTCCAAATTTGATACAGGCTATGACGATGTAGTTTCTTCACCGTATGGGATCCGCAAAGTTCACAAGACAAGAGTTCAAGTAAGAACAAACCCTTTATAAACTCTAGTGCTTTCTTTTCTTTTCTACTTTTCTACCTCCAAACACCATACACATTTGAAATATTCTGTTATAGAGTCTCTATCTCTCTGTCTTTTCTGAATTATTTGTTGGGTCGGTCTAATACAAAGAATATAGTTCTGCATAACATGGAGTTGCATCCAGACACACCCCACCTCCCACAACAACCCAAAACAGCCCCATTAGGCTAATAATATATATTTTTTTCATCAATCATTGAAAGTTTTCAAACCAAACAAGGCAAAAAAGGAAGTCAAAACATTCACAAGGAGCTTAAGTTCATTGAACAGACCATGAAGCAGACACTCTCTGCCATATTTTGTGCTATAAAGTGAGAATACAAGGGGGGAAAAGGTATTTGGCCTTGTGTGAAATAGAGACCATGCAACTGGCTACACCTCTAAAAAAACAATCTCTTTTTCTTCTCTAAATTTTGTGTACCCTTGCCTTCTCGGTTTCTTACTTGTGTTAATATCTCATTACTATTTTATAATATAGAGAGAGTATGGCCTTGCATGAAATGCAAAACAGTTGTCTAGTTCCAATTGAAAATACAACCACAAACCACAAAAACCTTTGTCTAAATTGTGCCAAAGTTTTATTTTAATTCTTAAAATTTGAAATTCGTTTCAAAATATCTCCAAAATTTCTGTATAGAATGCACGAGCAGAAAAGCTTGTGTCTACTTATGTGAACAAATCTAAACACATCCCAAAAGTAAATTTGAAGATTATAGAGTTAGAGGAGTATAAAAATAAAATAAAAAATAAAATAAAGAACAAAATTTCAAAGCCTGAATTGAAGGAAGATGACGAAAATAGTGTTGCACAAATCTCTATATGTTAGATTTGTTCATATCAGCAGACACACAACTAATCTCTATAGGCTAGATTTGTTCATATCAGCAGACACACAACTAATCTCTATATGTTAGATTTGTTCATATCAGCACACACACAGCTAATCTCTATAGGTTAGATTTGTTCACATTAACACACACAACTAATCTTTATACGTTAGATTTGTTCACATCAGTAGACAACTAATCTCTATATTGGTTTGAATGAAAATTTTTAAAATTGGAACCAAATTTATACCCCCACGGAAAACTTTGATAATTTAACCACCTTGCCTTTGGATTGACATCATCTTTGATTATAAAATTTTTATAGTGGCGGAATAAGAAATTTATTTATTTATTTATTTATTTATTATTATATATATTTGGATATGAAACAATGAGAAATTTACAGTAGCAGAAGAACAAAATGAATTAAGTTATTGAAAATGTTTTTGTATTTGGTACACGTCTCAAAACGACCAAGTCTTGTTCTTTATATTCATTGCAAATTAAAATAGTAAATTTACATCATGATCCAATAAAATTATGTTGATTGATTATGTATTGTCTTCATATTTTTTTCGTTGTTATTATTTTATGAACGTAACTTTATTACTTTTATTTATGAATTAAAAAGAACATCTACTTTGGTTGCGTAACTTTTTTTTTTTATTATTTGACAAAAATAATAATATTAACAAAATCTTGAAATTAACTGGAGTTTAGCAACTGAGTTATCCCTAACTGGGGTTGCATATCCACTACATGTATATGACCTTTCTTAGCAAATATAACTTATAAATTAGATTTAATAATTAATTATGAATTACTCTACTTTTCTTGCTTATTTATTATTATTTAAAAAAAAAAAAAAAACTTATCTTGAGGAAAATATTTAAAGAAAATAAAACACACTTTTCACTGGTTTTCATCGGTCAAAAGTTAGTTTTGGTTCTTCTGGTCTTTGTAGAGGGCCATTAATGAATAAATAAATAAATAATATGCCTTTAATTTAATTTCATATATGTATATTTTCAAAGTATTATTATTATTATTATTTTAAGGACAAAAATGGTAACATTTTCAAAGAAATAAGAAATTAGCCCCCTCTCGTCTTTTTAGTTAATTGAAAGTAATTTATAGCTGTTTTTTCATTAAAAAATAAAATAAATAGTATGTTATTTTACAAGTTAGTCGTTAAATTTTGAGATTTATATCTATTTTAAAATTATAAATTTAATTATTCAACTTTAATATATATATATATATATTTGGTCAACTCGACCAGGAATGAATGAACAAAATATAATCATGTATGTATAGATACATATATACATGTGTGTATATACATAGTAACAAATGATAGGAGTGGGAATGAGATTTGGATGAAATCAACCCGTTTGAGAAAGATTCAAAAGGAAATACTTAGTTGACTTTGTCGGAAATCTTTTATTATTGTTCTTTAATCAATCTATTTCTTTTTTTTTTTTTTAATTAAATAATGATTTCTCTTAATAGTAAATACACCTATCTATAACTCTTCTGATTTCTTCTATATCCAATTTGAATTATTCATAATACATTTTAAAAAATATATATATATATATATATATACCTTGAATTTTCAATAACATTTGAGTATAATTTTTCTTAATTGAGCAAAGAAAACAAAAAACTAAGCTGGAGCTCCAACTGTTTCTTCTCCTAAAAATAGTAATGTATTAACTTCTGAGCTGGCTAACAATGTACTAATATTTTAAGTAAGGAATATTACATTACAATAAGATTTAATATATATATTTTAATAAAAGAAATAATTTCAAATGTCTGATGATAAAATTAAAATAACTTAAATTAAAAGTCTAAGTCCACAACTACTTTTAATAAGTTCCAAAGTTCCATATAATTATAATTCATTGAATTCACGTAAGAATACTCTTAAATTACAATACCCTTTAAATTGAAGGTTAAGATTGTAAATTTACATAAGTTTTGAAATTAGAGATAAAAATCAATGAAATCCAATCTTTCACTCGAATTAATTAAGAGTAAGTAATAATAATAAACAATAATATTTAGAGATAAGAAGAGAGAAATTTAAAATTGCGGTACTTCCAAGGTGAAGAGCAGAGACGGTTGTTTTCATGGAGAGGAAATCTCTCTCTCTCTAATCTCTCTCTAAAGGGGTCCTACGAACAAACCTTCTTGTGCTTTTTTTTCCAATCTATAAGTATCCACCTTCATCCTTTCTCTTCAATTCTTCATTTCTTCTTCAGATTCTCTGTTCCTAATAGTAATCTCCAATTCTCTCTCTCCGATTTCCCGATTTCTGATTCAACTTTTCCATATCCATTTTTCAACTCTTTGTTTTTCTTTCAAATTTGTTTCGTCTGATTAGATTCATCAATTTTTATGGTGGTGAAATTGGTCCGGTGGCCGTCGTGGCCGCCGTTCTCGTCGAGAAAATACGAGGCGAGGATCAATCTTCGCCGACTGGAAGGATTGACGAATGTATCAGTGAAGGAAGCGAGTGGTTTAGTGGTGGAAATCAAGTGGAAAGGGCAGAAGATTATGGGAGTGAGTTCTTGGAGACGCTCTGTGAAGAGGAATTACACAGAGAAAGGCAATGTCCGTGAAGAAGGAGGCTTATCGGTGGATTGGAACGAAGAGTTTAGGAGTTCGTGTTCCTTTTTGGGCTCTAAGGAGGATCTCATACCTCGATGGAAGCTTTCATTCACAATCCTTCAAAAAGTAAGCAACACTTCTTCCTTCCTTCCTTCCTTCCTTCCTTCCTTCCATCCCTTTTCTTCTTCTTTACGGAATTTTTTACAGTTTCTGTATGGATTGAATTGTGAATTAATGGTAATTGAATTTTGGTCGTACTGTTTTGCTTGCTTTTTTCCACCTATTTCCCCTTTTGGTTTGACTTTGAATGATGAAGACAAGACGGTTTAATTGTTTCTACTTTTTGTAGTTTCTATGCTTTTTTGAGGTTGGGGCTAGTGGATGACGTATGGCTGAACAATGAGGATGTAGATATTCCAATTTTCTTTTGATATTCAGTGTTAGACTTTCTCTATATCAATAATTTGTCACTTTATGAATTGAATATATCAAATAATTCACAATTAACATAGGAGTATAGTGTTCTTACCAGATGTCCTCAGCCCTCATAAGGAAGAAACAGAACATTGCTTGGCCTACAGAAAATAGATGAACAGTTGATGAAAATTTCATGAAATAATTCAAGATTAGGTAAATATAAACATAAAATAAATAAATAAAATTACACTAATTAATGTTTGAATTAGAATGGATGGAAGGTGTGAAATCCTACCTTGGTTGGAGAGGAGGAGAACAAAACATCTTCTATAAGGGTATGGAAACTTCTCACAGACATACGAAAACTTTGAGGGGAAGTCCAAAAAGAAAAACCGAAGTAAACCATATCTGCTTTAGGTTTGGGCCCTTCTAAGAGATCATCCCCATATGTTGAACACTCAAATAAATGATCTGAAAGGGCTCATACCTTTTTCTTTAGGGATCTGTGCCAAAATTCTCTTGCTTGAGGGGAGCTTCTTGTGGTTGGGCAGTGTTCCAAATACTTACTCATTCAACTTGTGATTCAGTGCTTAAGTTTTTTTCTCTTCCATTACAGGGAGAAAACCAAGTACTTCGAAATAGCTATACTGTTGTAGGAACCGCATCACTGAACCTAGCAGAGTATGCTTCCAAAGCTGATGGAAAGGATATTCAAATAAGCCTTCCTTTGAAGGTTCGTGGCAGCACTCCAGAGTTCAGCCCCTTGCTCCTTGTAAGTAGTATCTCCCAAGTTACCAGCACAAACTGTGTGTTCTTCCAGCCTTCAAGGAGATGAAATCTGAAAGAAAGTGCATAGCTTCATATTCCCTGCCATTTTCTTTTTTTCTGATGAAGTTCGTTTTCGATTACGCAGTTATCTCTCAACCTCTTGGAGATGAGAGCTACAAAGCCTTTGATGATGGTGCAAAGGTCGATTATGCCTGTTACGCTCTCCCCGCCTTCACCATTGGCTTTGTCTACAGAGAAAGATGGGTTAGCTGCAATAAGAGCAGGTCTAGATAAAGTGAAAATATTTGGACACTGTGTATCAGCTGGAAGAGCTAAAGTACTCCGTGAAGAAGCTATTGCCACTGTCGATGGGTTTTATATTGAAGATAAGGATTCAACTCACAGTTCTTCACTTGATTCGGATTCACTGGATGGTGGGAATGAGGGTTCATGTGTTAGGCAGCCATTAGGCTATGAAAAACTCGCCCATGCAAACCGTGTAGCAGAATTGCTTCTCCCTGGAACAAAGACCAACAATGGAGATGATGAATGTTGGATATATTGTGGCAATGGTGCAGGATGCTTAGAAAAGGATGATATTGATAATTCACAAACGAGGCAGAACTCAATGAGCAAAATCTTGTCATGGAGGAAGAGGAAGTTGAGCTTCAAATCTCCTAAATTTAAAGGAGAGCCTCTTCTGAAGAAACATTATGGTGAAGATGGTGGAGATGACATCGACTTTTACCGTAGGCAGCTCAGCACAAATGAGCTTTTCTCTTGGGTATGTACTCCGGACCTGAACAGCATTTTACTCTGCTTTACTTAAAACCGTACTAATAGTTGCCTCCTCTTCTCATTCTTCTTGCAGTGGTATAGTTTGGAGTTATCAGCAGCTGCATTTGGGGACGATAACTTCGCTGTAGGTACTTGGGAGCAGAAGGAGATAACTAGCCGTGATGGAGGCTTGAAGATCGAAACTGAAGTCTTCTTTGCCTCTATTGATCAAAGGAGCGAACGTGCTTCTGGGGAAAGCGCCTGCACGGCTCTAGTTGCTGTTATTGCTGATTGGTTGCTGTCCAACCAAGAAGAAATGCCTGTCAAGTCTGAACTGGACAATTTGATCAGAGAAGGATCAGCAGAATGGAGGAACCTTTGTGAAAATAAAGAATACATGGAACAGTTCTCTGATAAACACTTCGATCTTGATACGGTAATTGATGCAAAAATCCGACCTCTATCTGTTGTTGCAGAGAAGTCATATGTTGGATTCTTCCACCCAGAAGGGCTGGAGGAAGAGGGTGTTTTCGAGTTCCTCAAAGGCGCCATGTCTTTTGACACCATATGGGATGAAATCAGCCTACTAGCAGTAGACCATCCAACAAGTGCAGGCGAATCGATAGTCTACATTGTGAGTTGGAATGACCACTTCTTCATCCTGAAGGTTGACAATGATGCTTACTACATCATAGACACCTTGGGCGAGCGGCTGTACGAAGGGTGCAATCAGGCGTACATTCTGAAATTTGACAAGGAGACAGTAATTCATAGATTACCAAACAACACAAAGGCATCAGAGGAGCAAACCTCCAATAACACAAACGAGACGAAGAGCACAGCACCATCAGATGAGAAAACGTCCATTGACATAACACAATCAAAGAGCTCTGAGCCAGCAAAGGAGAAAAGCACCATTGACACAAATCAATCAAAGATCTCAGAGACATCACAGGTGGAACCATCTACCGAGGTGCCACAACTAAAGAACACACAGATTTTGGAGGAAACTCCCTCCATTGATGTCATGCAACCAAGCGACCCTAAAGAAGCATCAACACCAGAACCACCGAGTAGCCTGAAAGAAGCATCAACTGAGAAGAAAGATGAGTCAACAAATAGTGATATAAAGCAAGAGGTTGTGTGCACAGGGAAGGAGTGCTGCCAGGAGTACATCAAGAGCTTTCTTGCTGCACTTCCGATCAGGGAATTGCTGGAAGATGTGAAGAAGAACGGTTTGAGTTCATCAACACCTCTTCATCAACGGCTGCAAATAGAATTCCACCGTGCCAAAGTGATTCTAGAGGCATCGGATCAAATTTTGGCAAGCAACGCTTGAGGGTTAATTACATAAGCTGACTCAAAAGCTCTGTTTTAGTTCTGATTAACTTTTGGAGAATCTTGTTTTAGACTACAGTAGAGTAAGGAATAAAGTGAATAATGAAGAGGCATAAATTAAATGTTTATAATGCCCATTTATTCCTTGCTCAATTATTGCTTCACAGAACTTTTCTTATAAAATAATGTGCATGTAGCTCACCATTTGATATTGAGCTGAAATGATAAAACTTGAATCATATGGTTAGTACACTTAAATTAAAACAATAAACACTGCTGAGGGATAAATTATTTCAGGTGCATAGGAACATCACGTTTTGCAAGAAATCTGATCCAGTTTCTAAAATGAGCTCTAAAATAATTTCTGGTCAACAACTCCATTGTCTTCACTAAATTGATTATTAAATATCTGGTTAACTAGATTAAATAAATAACTGTAACTGTCGAGCCTAGACTCCAAAATTATAATACCGATCAAATGATTTAGATAAGCATATTATGAATTATTCAGAAGTTGATAGGATTTAATGATTTTATCTCATGTCGAATTTGAAAATTGTCATAAAACAAAGAATTTCTAAGCGACCACCAAATACCAACCAATGTCAGCAGAGAAACCCTACGTCAAGCATTTAATTCCTGAGGTTCACATTGAAATGCCTGGTTTCATATTCAAACTACTCTACTAAAGAATGAGTAAAAGCAGCGAGTGTTGACACTCAGCTGGAAAGGAGAACGATACTCTTGTTCAGAATTGGAAGTGATCACCTTCATTAACCATATAGAAAAGTTCTGTCCCTCAGATGCCTCCAACTGGAAAGAGCTGGTGTACAAGTTTAACCACTCCCAGCATGGATGCATCATTCTGCAGACAACATTCAAATTGGTTAATGTTTTATGGTACAACAGTTGCAATTAGAATTTTATGTGGAGAAGAAAAATATTGTATTAGCAATAATAGTCACGAGAAATAAAAGTAAAGATTTTAGTTAAACAAGCATTTTGGTCCATATACTTAGAGTTCTGTTACATTTTAGTCTTTGTACTTCAATAAATTTTAAATTTAGCCATTCAAAGTTGATTTTTATCGAAATTTGTTAAATAATAATTTTATGTAAGAAAAGATACTACAATTTACAAGAACCAAAATAGAATGAAACTCAAAGTATAAAGACCAATATGGTATTTTAACTAAAGATTTTCCATTCTTTTCCTCCTCTTTTAGGGGCGTTCGACTCACCAGGTAAACAATATCAAAGGCGTTGCGATAGCTGTCAAGAGAGTTCTCAATGTTGTCATTCCTGAAAAACGAGATTATTATCATGAGAATGAATACTTCAAATGAATTTCAACTTAAAACAGCATTCGTAATAAACAGATGACATAAAGTAAGTTTTAAAAAGTTTACTTACAAAAACCCCACAGATATCCGTGTATCGTAGTTTAAACCATCTGACATCCCCAAATCCCCGATGTGGTCACCAAGAAGAAGTACATTCGTCCGTTTTCTTACTGAGGCACTGTCATTAGTTGCTCCATTTACATCACCCAATTGGTCATGAAGAGGAGCGGCCATGTCAAGAGCATGCTCATTCTTATTTAGACTATGAATTGTCTTGCCTGCAAAGAGAAACATTTCCATAGGACAAACTCATTCAAATGTAACAATCATAAGAACCACTAATAAAATGACCGCGACAAGTAGTAGCCAGCTAAAAAAAAGAAGGTACCCTTAAATGATACAAGGCAACCATTATCATCAAACACCATTCTATTCGAAACGATCCTAATATTCTTAAAAGATCTGTGAAGCTTCTGCCTCAGGACCTGGTCCAGGAACAAGAATAGGGCGATATATCAAGAGAGGACACACAAGTGAGCTTTAGATGTGAAATTATATCTGTATAAAATGCATTATAGAACAAAGAACATTTGACCATGCCTACCTCCTCTATAATGTCAGCAAGACCAGCTGAAAATATAAGAACAGGAACATTCCTTTCCTGATCATCATGATTTGTGGTAGTTAAAAAATGTTTAGAGGGCGTTCAATACGAAAAATCAGCTATATCATGACACCAAAAAACAGAAAATAAAACATTGATATTTACCCCACAAAGGGCATTATAGCAAGTAATATTTTCACTTCAGGGAGAAAAGGTTTTACCTCTAGAAGTTCAAACAGCTCAACCACTCCCTCCCTAAAAGCAATAGTGGCATCAGCAACTGATTGCTTTATTGCATCAAATGTAAGACCTCCTTCAATAAGAAGTGAATGGCTTTTGCCCCACCTGCAATGCATAATATGGAAACACAGATTTTGATGCACCCATCAACAAGAACTAACAAAACAACATGGATAGAAATTCATAATGTATAGTTGCAGAAGAATCACAGAAATAACTCGATTTTAGCTGATACTGGCACAAATATATGCCCTTCAACTCCCATCCATAATATACTTCTGAGAGAAATCCAAGAGATGAAAAATTAATAGCAAAGAACATCTAATAAACATACCACTCTTCCATGAGCTTCGTTTTCTCTTCTATCGAAATTGTAGGAGAATATTCCAAGGGATGGTAATATTTATAAAGTTCTTCTCTCTTATCATCATAATCAGGATTCCCCTGCTTTAGAAGACCGTGACTGCCTACACATGTTAATCTTGTCAGCACAACATAGAGCAAGTTCATCACAATTAAAAATAGAGCTTCGATACAAAGTTGGCAGGTAGTAGTCATTAAATCTTACTTTGACCTCGGCGGCCATCAATCCAGTATCTCGTTAGCGTAGCATCAAAGTCAGCAATAACCTAAACAATACCGCCTACTATTATTTCTATAAACAAAGGTAAGAAAAAAGAAAAAACATCAGACTCAAAAACAAAAGAGCAAAACCTGGAGCTTCTGTGGTCCCGAAAGGCGCATAGCTTCCAGTTTCTTCTTGAGCAGATCGGTATCGGCGACAACTGCCTCAGAAGCCTGTAAGAACCCCTGCTCCTCCATCCCAATCACGTTTGGGTTTCCGCAAAACCAAAGCCTTCAAAAGAAAAACGTATAGAAAAGTCCGTGAACGTGAAAAACGATTAGTGAAGTGAGAATGCTGCATAGTCGCGCAAAAGAATGAGTGAAAATGGGATTTGGATTTTGAAGGAAAGATTCAGCAAAAACAAAAACAATGGAACAGAGAGAAAAGTAACCTGGAATTGGAAGATGGATAAGAAGGAAGCTTAGAGATGGAATGGAAGCGAAATGGAATCGTTGAAATGCACAGGACTCGACCACTCATCTTTCAATATTTTTTTCCGCTAAATTATACAAAATGCTTGATTTATTGATTTATTATCTTTTAATTGCTAACAATTTTTTTAATAACTATAAAAGTTCTTTATAGCACGAAAAATAGAAGAGGCGGGGAGATTAAATTTTCATTTCAAATTAACCATTTAAATAAAAATGAAAAGTTTTGAGCAGATTATTTTACTTTATTAAAAAATAAAACAATAATAAGCTCTTAATTCGTTCCAATTTTCTCTAGAAAATAGTTTTTTTCTACGAAAATCAATAAATAAATAAATAAAGCTTGACAAAGCTCAGAATTTTGAGTATATTTTAAAAGTCAAATTTCTATTAAAAATATGCATTATAAAAATAAAAAAATAAGATTGGAGAAAAAAAAAAGGATAAATCAATCATTGGTCTATTAAAAAAAAAAAAAAAAACAAAAAACATAAAGCAGAGAGAGATCTTTGTGATTCCCAATCCAATCCAATCCTATTTTATCTGCAAATGCAATACATAATCTTTGAGTTCAATGTAAGCTAGAAAGCACATAGTAAGGAGAACAAAAACATAAACCCGGATACTTACTTCGTTATCCTACCACCCCGACTAAATTAATATAATCAAAGTCATCTATTTATTTTTGAGAAAAATTGGACATGACTGCCTGGAGCTGCTGGATCCCTTTCCTCCATTTGGGGTCTCCCAAAATTTTGCTGTAGCTGTCTGTCGAGTCCCATTCAAAATCATTGTTGAGCGCACTGAACTCTCTGGGCACCGCCGGGCATATCATCGTCTTCGTCGTAAGCCTCTTGTACTTGCTTCCTGCGCATCTCCTCTTCGATGTTGACGTCGTGGAGAGTGGTCTCTTCACATTCATCCAACTCCATGTCTGAGAGCTGCATAGAAGACCTCGGTGGTAGCACCCCCTCCAGCGCCTTGCACTGTTCAGAGTTCAACGAGTCTGGGAACTCCACACTGAAGTGGATGTAAAGTTTACCCTTCATGAATGGCCTCTGGTACATTGGCATACCCTCATCATTTACGGCCTTGAATTGATCTGTGCGATTAAGAACTCGCACTGTGAGCCAATGCCGTAACAAGCAGCAGAAAAACACAGCAGACGTAACGTAATGGATCGTAAATAGTTACATACCGGGCTTTACTACTTCGCCAGGAAGGGATTTGATGAGTAGCTGGCGGCCGTCTAAATGAGTTAGAATAAACTGGAAACCGCAAAGGGACTCGACCAGAGACAAGGTATGCTCCACGAAGAGGTCATCACCCTTTCTCTTAAACTTCGGGTGCTCTTTTTGTTGTAGCACAAATACGATATCCCCAGTAAGAGTGTCGGGCTGAACAAATAAACAAAATGAAAACCAATCAAATCGCGTATTTCAAGTGTCGAAGAAAAATACCCAATAAGAATGCAGTCTTACCGCTTCATCTGCTTCACCAGGAAATGTAATCTTTTGTCCATTTTGCATACCCTTCTCAACAACTACTTCCAAAACTTTCTTCTCCTGAACAACCTTTTCACCCTTGCACTGTGAGCAACGATCTTTATCATTGATCGTCTCACCAGTTCCTTTGCATTCATTACAAGGATGCTGCATTTGTTGTATCATAGAGGGGCCGAGGTGTCTGATGGAAACTTTCATACCAGATCCTTGACAGCCAGGGCAATTCATTGAAGCACCAGATTTCGAGCCCTTGCTGTAATTTGTTATAGCAAAGTTCACGTGAGTCCAGAAAATAAAGACAAGTAATGAAGGGTAAAGGCATAACGACCACGGTTACTCACCCCTTGCACTTTGAGCAAATTACGTTGCGTGAAAGAGAGAGCTTCTTTGAAGTCCCATTGTAGAGATCTTCCAAGGAGACCTTGAGGGGATGGATAACATCCTCTCCCCTTCTTTGCCTTCGTCCTCTGCTGCTTCCACCACCTGAATACAATCTCAAAATGGATTTCAATCACTTAAAAAAACTCCATAGTTCATAATTGAACGTCACAGCAAAATAATTATTACCACCAAATGGGCTTCCACCAAAGAAAGACTGGAATATGTCAAATGGATCATGACCACCGCCACCACCCATTCCTTCCTTGAGGGCATCCTCGCCATATTGGTCATATATCTCACGTTTCTCTGGATCACTCAGTACCTCATAGGCTTGTGCTAATTCCTTGAACTGCATCACGAATGGAAATTTTTCAAAAGGTTAATAATTTTTTCCCATTATGTTGATTAACTCAGCTGTCTGAGAGAGGTTTTAAAGCCAGAGAGCTTGGCATATATTAGTCAAGACAAAACAATGGGAGAATCAACCAACATCAAATTTAAATACCCAGGTAAACAGATAATGACTGAAATACAACAATCAAGCTTTAGGTCGAAGTCATGCGATCAATAAGCTTCCCAATTAAACAAAGGGGAAACCCGTTTCAGTGTGTTCGCTACATATGTAAACAACCAAACCATCGAGGTTCAAATTACAAACCTAACGTAGTAAGAGCGTCAATTCCTGCAAAAGTTATTGCAACCCTAGCAAACCACTCTCTTCATTGAAATACAGGCGTGTAAAAAGCAACATTCTTAGTGAAAAATCAAGACCATCAGCAAAACAAAGCATCAATTCAGAAAACTAAGAAGTAGATCTAAACATCATGATCCACAATCATTTATCATCAGGAAAAGACATTAGAAAATCGCAAGAAAAAAAATAGAAGTAACGACTCAGAATCATCAAGGGGGGAGGAGAAAGAGCTAACTTTTTCGGGGTCACCACCCTTATCAGGATGGTTCTTGATAGCGGCTTTTCTATAAGCCTTCTTTAGGTCGTCTTGCGACGCATTCTTCGAGACTCCGAGAATCTCATAGTATTTGGTGTTGTCGCTCTTCTTGGGCCTTCCAAACATTTTTGCCTCACCGATCGGATCTCAACAAACCCTAATAAAGCAATCAAACACATAATCAAAAACCAAGACCTCGAAAGCGAAATCGAGGGGGGGAAAACTCGAAAACCGATGAATCAAATGGACAAAAACACGAACCTCACAAGAGCGAAAGGGGCGATCTTGAAGTGAAAGAACAGGTAGAGAGATCGACCTGCGAGCAGAGAAACCAAAGGGGTCGCTCGAGACGGCGAGGGAGAGAGGGATTGGAAAGACCCAAATCTCAAACTATAAGGAAATATTTTGACGGTTCGGATTGTTTCTTTAAAAGATGTGGTCTGCTGAGGCTTAGGGGTAAGTTTGACATTTTGATACAGAGGCGGCCAAACCCACATATGCTTAAGGAAGGATCTAGAATTTTCTTGCTTTTCTTATTTTAAGATTTTGGCCTCTTTTTAGCATAAGTTAAATTAATTCAAATTATAAAATTTAATTATCGTACTTCCATATTTTTTTGGCCTTCAAATTCAAAGAAAAAGATACTCTTCTTCTTTTATTAAAATTTAAAATTGTAAATTTTGTATTTAATAAGTAATTTAATTATTAAGCCATTTTAAAATTGACAAACATATTAGACCTTACCGATATAGTAACAAGAATTTTCAGAGAACTTTCAAGGAACCAATCAAGAATCAAAGAATGAACTTTCAAGGAACCAATCAAGAATCAAAAAATGTTTCTCCTATTACAAGTCATCGATTTTGAAGACCTTAATGAAAAATACTCGAGGAGGGAACCTGTAACTTTGACCAACATCTTCCAATTCTGGTCAAAGTGAAATACATCCACTGAACGGGCTATCGAGTTGGGTCTCTTTCTACATTGCAACTTTGTTGGGATGTTCAAGGCCAATTGGGTCCCATTTCGAGAATGGCTTGGGGTACTGATGCCTTGAATACCCTAAATTCTTTGATCTAAAGTCGCTTTCAAAGTAAAGCTTATAAAACAACGAGCTAAGGACACAAATACACAGATACACAAATACACAGACTCGGAAAGAACTCTAAGCAAATTTCAGTGAATAACCATAATTACCATTCATTACACATCATTTAAAGCATATTAGCGTGGCCCTGTTGATCCTGTTCCAAACGAGTTTAAGTTGGAAATATAACCAAAATATACATTCAAATGCATAACAACAAAACAAAGAATGTGGCCATAGAGTATAAATTCATGTGGCATATATAATTAATGAAATGTCAACAGACAGAAAAGAACGGTACCAAGAATGTGCCTATATATATAGTTTGATCTTGCATAGCCAAAGAATGCAGACTGCCTGGATGAACAATTCCAAATACATGTTGGAGTGAAGATAGCCAAAGATGAATGACAACCTATTTATATATATATAAATCAAATGCAAGCTCTGCACAACCATGTATACAAAGGTTCCCTCCAACAGCTCCAAGAAACGATGATCAGATGAGATAAGTGTAACTTTTAGCCTCGAAGGGACGCGCGGGGAACAGCGGGTAAACCCAATTCATCCTCAGCCTGTGCATAAAATTTAGGATGAAACTCAATGCATATAAAAACAGCCAAAAGTGCAGAAGGTGAAATAAAAACGAACAGACTCGCATGAACTGGATAGATGTAACTTCGTGTTAATGGATGAAGTTGAGCAATATTTCAATTTATGACCGTTCTTTTAAATGAACAAGAACGAGATTTTTGACTCCAAGAAATTGGATCCAGTATATGTTCGACGATTGTTACCTGTGCATTGGTTCTGCCTGCAGGAACGGCTGCATGCCCTGTAGGAGCTGAAGGCAAGTTGAGCTCTCCTTCTAAATCGGATTCCTTGTCGGGCTGGAGATATGATGGAACCCCATCAGTTTCAGTTTCAAATCCCATGTCTGCTTCCAAGGCATCCAGCTCTATATTCCAAGTAGTGAAGATGTAAGATTCCTAGGAAGCCATATTTCATCAAAATTGAGCATTTAAATGCAGATATCATACCGCCCAAAAGTTCATCCTCGTCAATGTCATCTGGTACATTATAGCTCCTACCAAGAGTCTCTTGAATTTCATTGCTCACATCCATCAGATCCATCATTTCATCTTGTAAGTTCTGCAGACAACACAAAACCTCTCAAACAAAGGCTTGAATAAAACTAAGGATGCTAAAACGAGGTGATTGCTACTGACATCTATGTCCTGTATCCTCACTGTTTTCATCATTCCTTTCAACTCCTTGTTGGCAGATTTCAAGGCCGACATCTGCAAAAAAAAATAAAACGACGTTAGTATGAGAGAAAAAGGTCACTCCTATTTGATTTAATAAACGCATCCAAGATATCAATCCCCGTTACAAGCTAAACTGATATTAGGAAGACGATGAGAGACTGCAGATAGAACTTTATTGAATTTCAAGAAATGCCTTCCTAATGGCAGATGTTTTTCCCCCTACCTCGTTCTCTCACGAGGTAGGCAGCAGGTTTGTCTTACCTTATCCTAAGATTTTCTCGATCTAAAATCAATACGTTTGAGTCCAAATCTGCAATGGAACACTCACACTTTTCTTTTCTTTCCTCTCTTTTGAGGGGCAAAAGATAAGCAAACCGATGATCACAAAAAGGGTCGACAGATGTTACCGTTTGTTGAGCATCTTTAATGCCCTCCGAGGCAAATGCAACTTGGTCTAAGTTAAAGGTCTGATTGTACAGCATGTCACGTTGTCCTTCATACCTGTTATAAAGCATAAGAAATCTCTTAATAACCATACCGATAGTAAACAATAAAAGGAACTCATACTTAGCAAAATGAAAAAAAAGAAAAGAAAAGAAGAAGTTTAGAACAAAATAATCCCAATCCAATTGTAGTCAGACGAGCTTCCAGACTTCTAATCAGTTCAACAGCAAGCATTTAAATCAACAAGCTTTCTAACATTAAAAAGAAAAAAGAAAAGTTAAATTGTGGTCAAGTCAATCGAAGTTTAGGGTTTACGGAAAAAGGATTTCTGGAAAAAAAATGGAAATTCAAATGAAAGAGTCAGGCGTATTATCATGGCTTTCGAGCTGCTCAATCGATTGTTTTGTTCTCAGTCACGGGCCGCATTTTTGGGAACAGATAACAGTAAACTACGAACATGAAGTTCTAGCAACAAAACCAGAGGGAAAAACAGAAAGTTATGGTGAAGGAAACATGGTGACGTAAATATATGTTGCTTGAAACAAGAACACCCAAGCATACAGGCTTCTGCCAGATCTCCAAGCCAAATTGTCAAATCAATTCAACGAAATCACCACTCCAAGGTATTCACACTACTTTATGATTAAAAGAATGCAAAGGTTAGTTATATGCCCAGGTCGCAATGAAGAACTTTAAGAAAAGTAGCAAAAAGGGGATCATACATTCGTTTTTGCTTTAGTACTCTCATCGCTCGAGCTTTAACAGCTTCTTGAGCTGGACCGGGCCTTGTTTTCTTGATCTGCTCCTTATATCTACTGAGTTCAGCATCAAGCTTCTTTATCTTTTCATCCACTGAATCGCCCCTTTTATTAATCTGAAAAAGGGAACAATACAGAACACCCCAATTGACACAAACGAATTCAACGAAGGAGAAGCAACCGATTCTTCCCAATAAATAAAATAAACCAAAATTCTCGTATTTCAAAATCCATGCCAACAAAAAAAATAAAAATAATAAGCCCTGGATGTAAAAGAAATAGTAACGATTACCCTTTCGGAGGCATCTTGGATAGACGGAGGCGGTTCTTTGTCTTTCTTGACGCCGAAAACCCTCCTCATCTTTCGCTGCCGCAAAAATGGAGCAATTCGACGTCGATCAGCCTCCGAAGACGAGAATCGACGCCAAAATGTGGAAGAAAAAACCCCGAAAGAGAGAATTTAGTTTCGCTGGGAAGATCACGACGAGAATCTCTTTGACATCCCTTTTTCTTAGATCGTTCAGAGAAGAAAAGAGAAGACCAATGGAAAATATTCACCTGCATCCGATCATATGTTAGTAAGAAGGCATCTACGTGTTTTTTTTTTTTTTTTTTTTTTTTTTTTTTTTTTTTTTTTTT